CAGGGGGGTTAAGGGGAGGGGTTAAGGGGGGCAGGTAGAGCGGGATTGCACAACAATGATGTCAAAAGTTACTGTTATGAAAACAAACAGCTCAAAAGGGTCTGGGGTGGGGGTGAGGGTTAATAGGAGGGGGGACGCTTCAGGGATTGTGAGTTATTCCCAACCTCGGCAAAGCGTGTCCACACACACACACACATACACACCTCCCGGAGGAGGACACCACCGAGCTTTTTGGTGGAGGGGAAAAGGGGGAAGGGGAAAGGGGGGGAAGGAGAGAGGAGAGCTATTCCCCAGGAATGACTTTTGACTGGGGAGACAAACCCCTTTTGGGAGGGGGGAGGGGGAGGGGGGAGGGGGAGGAAAGGAGGGGGAACTCACCCGAAGTTCCACATCAACCGCCAGACCAGCACCAGCAGCGTCACCCCCTCCTCCTCCCCCTGCCCTCCTCCCCTCCCTCCTGGCGGAAGAGGATGCTGCTGCTGTTGCTGTTGCTGACTCATCCGCGCCAGAGCCCCCAGCAGTACGACACTGGTGGCATCGTTGACGATACCCTCCCCGAACACCAGGCTGAAGAGCTGGGGGTTGGTGCGGGGGTCGAGTAAACCCAGCACGGCCACAGAGTCCGTGGCGGCGAACACCGCACCCAGAGCCAAACAGTCCTTGGGGGGGGGGGGGGTAAAGGGGAACAGACGTGAGGTTCTGGGGGGAGTGAACTGCTGCCGGCGTGTTTAGGAGGTCCGAAACTGCTTAGCGACTTCTAAGCGGGGGGGAGAGGGGGGCCGCAGGAGGCGGGGGTTATGTGTATGTGCGTGTGTGTATGTATGTATGCGTGTGCCGGGAGAGGCGAGACAGGGGGTAACTACTTGTACGACACTTAAAAGTACCGGAGCCCAAGGATGAAGAACCCGCGTCCCCATCACCTCCTAGAGATTCACACAGTACATATATACATACATACATACATACATAGACACATACACACACAGGCACAGACGACGTACTTACCTCCGCAGCTAGTCCGAATGTCGTGCCTCCCAGGCTGTACAACGCAGCCGACATCAGTACGAACGACACCAAGGTGCCAAGTACGCCAAAACTGTTGTACCGGGGGTGCCGGTGGTTGGCGTTACGGGCAATGATGTGGCGGCACAAGGGTGAGGTCCAAACAGCAGCAGTAGCAGTAGCAGTAGCAGGGCGCCAGTCGGTATGGCTGGGTGGTGGTGGTGGTAATGTCGAGCGTCCCCCAAAACACATACATACATACACAGGTCGGGAGCACACAAGGCTAACCGACTTGTGCTGTGTGCTCCCGACCCTTGCGCTGTGTTTCGGCTTCGGCCCCCGGCTCTCGCGGCCCACAGTGTAATCTAAGTCATACATGCATACATACATACATACACATACCTAAGTATCGACGGCAGGTTACTGAAGAAGAGGCGCTGCTCCACGGAGAGTCCCGCGTTAAATATGACCGGGGGGAGGAGATAGCTAGCGTGTGTGTATGTGCATGTGCGCATGTATGTATGTAGGTGTGGGGGGAAACCGGGTATGGGGTAGGGGTCGGGGTCAAGGCGGGTGGTCGGGGTGGGGACTGGTGCGAAAGGGGGCGCATACTCCAAAACGGTGTCAGTTGTTACATCCGTGAAAAGAGCAACGGCAGGGGACACGGACGTCAAGTGGTTCGGGGGTACGACGAAGCACAGACGATTGATGAAAAGAAAAAACCTCATAGTTAGGGGAAAATCGTCAATTCATGCGGAGAAACATAGAAAAAAATGAACTGCCGGAAGGCGTCCAAAGTCCGAAATTGGCCCCACTGAGTGAGTCCTAATGAATGAAGTCCCGTGGTGCCGGAAGTAAGGCCCATTATCACGTGACCGACATTTATAGTCGTGTAGTCGTCGTGCCTGGTCTGGTAAGATTGAGGTCGTTGACATGCAGTTGCAGCAGTGTGTGCAGACGGGCTGGGCTGTATCTACTGTATATGCATCTGTACCTCGCACCCCCTCCCCCCTATCCCTCTTACGTGAAGAAGGCCGCGCTGTTGAACCGGAGCAGCTCATTCACCAGCCCCGCGTTGGAGGTGTCCCGCCAGGCCAGGAGACCCAACCCCGCGGTAAGGCCCAGAAGGCATGCCGTACCGCTCTCGTTCAGATAGCGGGAGCTGAGGGGAGCAGGACGCCGAAAGGCGGGGCGGGGGGAGGGGGACGGAGGGATGTAAAAATCTGTGTGTATGTACGAATGTGAGGAGGAAGGCGGGGGAGCAGGGACAACAGGCAATAGCTTGCTTTCGCTGTGTGGGTGCCGTACGAGCCAGGGAGGGAGGGCCGGGGATTGGGAGTGTGACGGAGGGGGTGCGGGAGGGGGAGGCGCTCCTAGGGGCCACACGTCACCCGAGGCGCGTCCTCCCCACCATCCCTTCCAGCTGTTCCAGGTGCCCAGTCCCCGCCACATGGTGACGGACGGCTCACCGTGCCCGACATGAAACACACATACACACACGCTACACCCCCCTCCTTCCCCCCCTTTCCCCCACCGGGAGCTCAGATGGTGGCCCAGTAGGCTCCATAAGGCCGCCAGGAGGACCAAAACACCTGGCGGCGTGCGCGCGCGTGTGTGTGTGTGTGTGTGTGTGTGTATGTGGTGGTGGGGAGGCGGGCCCGGGAGGAAAGAGGTGCGGGGCGGGGAGGGGGGGCCCCGCGTGGTTAGGACAGGGAGGCGCGGGGAGTAGGTGGGGTAGAGGCTCAGATGTGATGGAACAGGTAGGTGGTGGGCGGACGGATATCGGCGAGGTGGACAGACATGCACACAGGTGGACACAGCGGTCGGGTCCGGCCTCTTGGTCCATGTACGGGAGAGGCACTCAGGCGGGCCGCGGCGCTGTCGCCATCACCGGACCCCCCCGCCCGCGACGGAAGGCAATAAACGTGGGTGTGTAGTACTAATGAATGTAAATGCACACCCATCCGCTTGCGCGTGTGTGTATGTATGTACGTACGTATGTATGTATGTATGTATGTATGTATGTATGTAGTATGTATGTATGTATGTATGCATGTATGTACGTGTGCTTATGTATTCGGGAAGCAGGAGCCTTCCCGCTGGTTTGCGCTTCTGCTGCCGTTGCTTGCCCTTTGGAAATGCCATAATCCCCCCGTACAGGCGCACAGGGACTCAGCGTGATGCAGCAGCATGTGCCTTTGCAGGGAAGCCCTTGCGTAAGGAAACTAGAGCCTTGTGTGAAGGTAAATGTGAGGATCTGGCTGGCTCTGTGTTGTGGGATTCAGATTGGTGTTAAGTTGAATGAAGTTGAAGTCGAGCAGGAAGTTCGCGAGACTTTGGATAGTGCTACTGCCGTGGCTCACGCGAAAACCGACGTTGGACGCATGCAATTTGACTTTTGACCATACCATACAGATTTGTGATTTACACAAGCTTTTTAATGTCATTCCATGGTTGTACTTCTGAGGCGCACAGAAACCAAGGCACAGCACCCCGAGAGCAACAGGTTACCTGTTGTCAGGCCTGCCACCTCCAGGTCAGCCTCAGTTGGCTTGTTAGGTACTTCCGTCGCGGCGACGGCTGCAAGCGCCTCATCTGGAGTCATCAATAACGTGGTCTAGTCTTGCAGAAGTTTATGTTTATGGCGTCCTAAAAAGCATGCGCGCTGATCCGGTTAGTTTTATGTCATGGATGTTTACGCAGGTCGATCCTATAATACCTGTTGTGAGATATGCTTGTAACCTCAGCACAGCATTGGCATGACCGTTGTCAGGTGGTACGGCTTAACAACGAATTTCTTGGCTTTTTGCTAAGGGTGGTTGTGTATTCTCGCCCACCCAGTGAAAATTAAAGGTTTTTGAGATATGCATACATCGCGCACTTAAGATTGACAACACAAGCTTTCTTGCCGAAGCTCTCAACAGAACCTTTCTTAGCGCCGCTATCATTTTGTTAAGTAGCGCATCGAAGTATTACACGGGTTGCTTCCTCCTGGCCTTACAGTGTGCACTTTTCGCTCCAAAGTTAAGTGCAACATCACAATTGAAGGGCCCAACTTCTACGCGCAACGAGGTTACCGGGATAGGCGTGAAACAAAATGGCTGATTGGGGCATGAAGCCCCAGGGTAATGCTTACGGTCAACCGGGAGGTGTGGAGTGGTTTAGTTCAAGTGGAGCAACAACATACGGCTCCTATGGGGCGTACTCTGCACCTGGATCTGGATACGGGGGTGCCAGCGGCAATGCCTATGAGGATGAGCCCCCGCTTCTTGAAGGTTTGTGCCGGACAACCCCCTCTGTTACCCTATAGCTGTGCGATAATGTCCGCGTCAGCATAAACGCATAATCTTTTCTTGGTCGTCGTAAGTGAAAAACCCTGTCTCGCTCAACCGTTTGCGGCAGAACTTGGTATTGACATCGGGGCGATCTTTTTGAAGACCCGCGCGGTGTTGCTCTGGCGGTTCAACTCACGATATTTGGACGATCTAGATATGGGTGGAGCCCTCATCTTTGTTTTTGTGCTAGCTGGTCTGCAACTCCTGGTGGGTTACATCGGGTTACATGCCGCCTGGGTCAGCGTTGGTCCAACCGACCAGACCCCGCCATGTCCTCCCGAATATATTTCCGTGAAGGGAGGAGGGTTGGAATCATGCCCTTCAACCTCTCTTTCACCATAAGCATACAGTCCCGTCCCAACCACACAAAGACACAGAGCTGCCTCCCTTCGCTGCCCCTCTCCTCCCTACTTGCGTTAGTGGACTCTCATCTCACGACGGACAACCCGACAGCCATCCGGGCGGAGCTCCCATTTACTCAACCCCATGGCCCCTCCCGCACCCTGCCTGCCTTGCAAAGGGCCGTGTTGCAAGCTCTCAATGCACCATCCCTGCCGAACCCGCAGATGGGCAAGCTCCATTTTGGTGTCACTCTAGGGTGGGGTGTCGTCTTCTCCATCATGCTCTGGTTCATGCTTCGGCAGCTGGTGGGCTCGGAGGGCGCTGAGGCCAAGAATCTGGACCTGTACGGCTGCTGCTGTGTCGTGGGTTACAGCATGTTGCCACTCGTGGTGTACAATGCAATGGCCATCCTCATACCCAAGTGGGTACGGGGGGGTTGCTTTAATAATCTGATCCGCGGTGTTTTTTTACGTGAACCGACATTATCTCGCGGGTAATGGATGCCCCCGAGTCATGCTGCCACCTCTGGCACGTGGATTGCGATGTAGCCACAACCTCCCGTGCCATGCACCACACAAAATATTATCGTCATCGTTACGACAGCTGCAGAGGAGCATTAAAGAGGGAAGGGGCGTCATTAGGGTTCACGGGTTGCGGCGGGGAGATGGGCGAGTGGGCGATTTGGGTCACACAGGGGTGGTATCGTGCAGCGGAGCGCAGGGCTTCTCCATCCCGCGGCCACTGCATCACTTAGCCGTGTAGGATCAATCGGAGTACCACTTTCTAGCTCCGTCATTTCCACGTGCCATATTCCACATGCACCCCGCTGATGTCATTCCACTCGCTTCGCCAGAGGCCCAGTTCATCCATAGGCCCTTGACTGCGGTGGCTTTGCAGCAGGGGCCCCAGAAAGTTTTGTACTCCTTGTAGTTTCAGACCAGGCAGACGGATTCCTGCCGCGGGCTTCCGAAGCAGTAAGGATATCCGCACAGCAAATGCAGCGCCTCCCAAAGCACTATTGAGCTCATTGGGCCGCACGTTTGTGTGTCTTGCATCTTGGTTCGGGGTTTTGAAGGGTTGGTTTCTCCAGGCTGACTTGTAGTTTTGGGTGCCACTGCGCAGGGGTCCGCTGTCGCTAGTGGCGGCGGTGCTCTGCACGGTGTGGGCGGCGCTCACGGCATCGCGCATCTTCGCCCGGAGATGTCCGCCACTAGGGGAGCTCAGGGTAAGGCATCCGCCGCCGCCTCTAGGATTTCGGGGGCCGATCTTGGCTTCCTTTTGCGCCTCCTTTTGCATGCTGGCCATGTACTCTGGTACCACTCTCCCCTGGGGGGTCTAGCGGGGCATGCACACCCCGAATCCTATAGGTCCGTCAGGATACCCACACATGCGCATCTCGTTCTTCTCTGCGTCTCATTCCACCTATGACCCCCCGTGCCTGTTTTCACTGCACAGGGCATCATTATGTACCCCTGCCTGCTGGCGTACTCGACGTTCGCTCTCTTAATGCTCTATTAGGAGAGCCAAACTGGATGGGGGGAAAGGGTTGGGGGCCCGGGCAGTGTTGGTCCGAACCGATACTTACCTCCCCTCCCCGCCCATGAGGGAAAGCAGCTTATGTGTGTGGGGCGGGGGGGTTGACTGGCGTCGTGGGAGGGGGGAGGGGGATGCCGTGAGAGTGGGAGTGGCCGTTGATGTTGTCAGGATGTGGAACTACCGCTGCTGACGAGTAAAGAGCGCAGTCTGTTCTCACTTTAACTAAGGGATACGCGTCCTTGGTGGGTTAGCCATCGCCGAGCAACCTCGCTGGTTGATTCTGCTGGGTGCACTGCGGTAGCTGGACAGCAGCAGCAGCAGAGCTTCGCTGGGGTGGGGAGGATGGTGGGGTGCGCGGCAACTGGGTTGGCTTCAGTTTCGACGTTGGACTGCATTTCTTTATTTGAACATTATTCGCGGCTTGCAATGATTGCATTTAACCATTTGCCTTCTCGCCCGCCGGTCGCAGCGGTCGTAGACTGGCTGACGGTATATGTGTTATAATGATCTGACCCGCGCGGAGGAAATGGCGGGGATGGTAAAGAGAATGACTCTACTGTTTCGACGTACGTTGTGTACGCTTGGCTTAATATTCCCGTGTAGCTTGATGGCGAGAGGGGGCAGCTGGGGTTTGCTTGTTGTGTTGTTGCGCATGTCGCACGTGCGGTTCTCTGCACGCTTACCCCAGGCTCTCTGTTTCGTGTTATAGGGGGGGGAAGAGAAGAGGAGTCCGGGTGACACGCCAGCCAAGGCGAAACCCTCTCTTGGGTGCGTATCAACGCGGGTGACTTATGTCGACTTACTGCGTTGTGGGTTTTAGGGTTTCCTTCAAGACGTTTGCAGCGAGTAGGTTATGTGGATGTTGTATCCAAGGCGAGGACATTTTCGAAAATGTATTGGAAGTCCGGTGCTAACAATCACCGTCGCTGGCATTGGACGCACAGGCGCACACTGCGTAAGTAAGTTGCTCAGCGACACGACCTTCCTGCTACCAATCTTCTGTTGCGGTTTCATGCAGCAAAGGGGCTTGACCACCACCTCACTGCTCCGTCCACCATCGGGAGCGGGTACGGCACACCCGGCTGCGCGATACCCAATTGTACGGCCGTCTTTGTGCCGTCTGGAATTCTGCTTCGTCCAGTCGCCCGACACATCCGTAAAGACAGAGGGTTCAGCAATAGCCACCAGTCTAGCATACATACTTAGGCAGGCGGCTGGCAGAGGTTAAGGCCTGACTTCTGCTCCCAGTTGACCCAGTCGACCCGGGTTCAAATCCGCCTGCCGGCTCCTCGGGTGTTTGAGGAGTGATGAAATGGGAGGTGGCCCCCCATCTTATGGACGGTGTAGGACGTGATAATATCAACTTGCGAGCTGACCAGGAACTAAGTTGATGCGCCGTTGATCCGCTAGATTTGGTTGGATGCTGGTGGTGAGTTGCCGAACTCAACGAATACATTCTGAAGTCGGATGGGGTGACGGATTAGGGTGCCCCTCTAGCAGGGGAGAGCAGGGACTGCCCCGGGAAAGGGGGCCGCTGGCGAAGTTAACCACCCTGTAACAACATACATACTTATGTACGTCCATGACCCTAGGGGGTGGTTAAAACTGCTCGGACCACGCACAGACCCATGTATAGCCTGCAGCTGTTCCGAGTGCTTTCAGTGACCTATCAGAATTTAAATAAATACGACCGCGAACACAACGACAAGAACTGCCGTACATGTGAAATAAATAACTAACATCGCTGGTGTATGTAGGCAGAAGTAACACGTATATAAATTCGGCCAAGTAGACTTTGAAAACGACAAAGCGACTGACATGCATTGGACGCATAAACTTTGAATAACTTTAAGGGTTACACTTTGAAGGGTAACGCAGCTCAAGGTGTAACATACATGCATACATACATACAGCTATACATACATAGATACATAGATACATAGATACATACGGATGCACGAGCGTGCGCCTCAGCATGAAGCACATGCGGGCGTGGTGACCCCTCCATTCTTATTTTACTTGCTCTTCATTTCCTTCACGTCACGAAATCATCAGGACGATAATCAATGTATAGCAATGCCTTTGGGGAGATGGAGCCCCAGCCGCCGCAGCCGCAGCCCAGCATAATCGATACTGGTAACTGCCATTTTTACGGCACAACTAGGCACGATAAACTGCGAGTGGCAAAGCACTAACTGCAGCGCTAACCCCGGATGGAGCAACCAATCTCCAATCCTCTTTAAAGTGGCAATGAATTGACGGGCGATTAAGCGATCGGGAAGGGCAGCCATAACGGCAGCCAACGTTCCGCATCTCCGGTACCCATGGTTGCATAGCTTGTAAAGGCAAAAGCAAACGTCATGTACGGCATCATATTCATGTACGGCAACACCTCTCGGTGCAAGGGCAACAACCAACGGTGACACACAAGTTCTTGCGTGGCCCCCCCGCGCGGGCATGTGTGTGTGTGTGCGTGCGACAGACATCACGACAGACGTCGCAACTTAACAAAAAATGCATGTGCGGAAATAAGGTGTCCAGCAGAGACTCCAAATCTTAGCAACGGAATGCAGCAACAGACAACAAAGAACTGTAAACGCAGTTGGTTGGCTCCAAAACGCCATGGCCACCGCCACCTTGCATATCATATAAATTGACGGACGTCATGGCCACAACATGCCTTAACAGACAGTGCTGCATTAACTGGGCGTTATTTGCCTCCGCGCAGGCTGCAGGCCAGGAATAGTTGGCGGGTATCCTAGCGCCTGCATGTACAGCTAGCTAGTTTCGACATTGACGAATGAGCATATGAATCTTGTGCACTGTCGCGCCTAGTTGATGGAACGAGTGTGTGAGTGATGGCACCGCGATGGCGCCTGACAGGATCAATGATGCGTGCCAGCATGGATACGCACATACACGGCTGTCCTCCAGTTGCGGATGCTTGGTAATTATAGGATAGTCAGCCAGGGAAAAAACACAATCATCATCTTCATCTTCGCTTGCACTTCACGCGCATCCATACATCCACCCATCTATCCATCCATTTATCCGGCGGGCTCCAGGCGCACCCAGCAGCACATCAGCACACCAGCCTGCCAGCTAAGAAGGGGCGGCGCGGGGGGAAGGCAGGGAGGCAGGGAGGAGCTTTATCGGCCAGCCGCCGCTTCACTTCCGAAACCGAAATTGTCTCCGTCGCCGCCGCTGCCGCCGCCGCCACCGCCGCCGTCCGCGGGACCACATTCCGGCGCCCCGCCGCCCATAGATGCTGCTCGAGAACCTCGCTGCAGCGCCGCCTTCAACCATGTGCTCACCTGAAGTCACCAAAGCAAGTCATCAAGTGAACGGCATTGCGCTTAATTGGGGTATGTAAGGTGATGGGGGGGAACAAATGAGTTGCGAAACGCAACATAATAACCGTGTCTTGATTCCTTCAAAGATGTTTGGGGGGTAGTGTATGCGTGTAGGCCATCGCCAGCGGTGCAGCCTGCGCGCATGTGCAGACACTCACTTTCGGGCTGCTGTGTGCGACCGCGCCCGTGAAGGGCCCCGGAGGCGCCCGTGAAGGGCCCCGGAGGCGCCCGTGAAGGGCCCCGGAGGCGCCCGTGAAGGGCCCCGGAGGCGCCCGTGAAGGGCCCCGGAGGCGCCCGTGAAGGGCCCCGGAGGCGCCCGTGAAGGGCCCCGGAGGCGCCCGTGAAGGGCCCCGGAGGCGCCCGTGAAGGGCCCCGGAGGCGCCCGTGAAGGCGTTTTCCTCCTCTCCCAGTTTACATTTCCCTTCCCTCCCCTTCCTGTACGGCAGCCAGCGTGAACCCTCTTTCGTTGTCGGTGGTTGCACTTGTAAGCGGTCGCGTCTTGTGGCATGGTGGCCGACTCGACGCAACATTGTGTTTTGGTCGTTACTGACTGACTGACGGACGGACGGACGGACGGACTGGACATGGCCAACCCTATGGGGCGGGTCCCACCGAACACGCTTCACGCTGGGGCCCCTGCCCAGAACATTTGCCGCCGATTAGATGGTCTGAGTTACACTTTTAAACGTCTACGGCTCCGCATTGCGGGTGGGGGGGAGGCAGTTAGAGCGGTGCGCATGGCCTGCCCTAATCATCTAGCCTGGAGCGAAGGCATTCAAGACGTTTTAAAACCATTCGTACCCCTTTCCCTTTACGCGTGGAGTTCTGGGGTAGCGTTTCCTTGATGCCAGGTGCATTGAATGGGTGGTCACCCGCGCGGGTGACCACCCAACACCCAGCCACCCACCTCGTTGACGAGCTTCTCCTGCTTGGCCTCGCTGATGCGGCGGATAACCCATGCCGGGCTGCGCCGACCTGGAAGCGCCATCGCCGCCGCCCGCGCCTCCACCTCCGCCTCCGCCAACTGCTCGGGCACCACCGGCAGCAGCCGTCCACTGCCCTCTACAGACATCGTGCCAGACCGCGCCAGCAGCAACGGGGGCTGCCGGCTGCTGGAACCGGAAAGGTGAGGTGACGACGGCGCAACCGCTGCCTCTGCCGCCGCCGCCGCCGCACCACTACTGTACGGCAACGGAGCACTGCTGCAGGGGATGGCGTCCGGGCTGGCGCCCAGGTGTGCAAGGTTGCGGACTGTCTGCCGTACACGCTGCTGCTGCTGCTGCTGCCAGGATTGCTGGGGGAAGAGGAAAGTGGCTGTAGCAGCCGCCGCAGCAGCAACACCAGCTAATTGAGCTCTCGTATTAGCGGGTAGACTAGGCGTATGTGATGCAGAGGCAATGATGATGTCGTCATCTTTTGTACTGTTCGGCGGTGGCGAAGCAGAGGCGTGAGGAGTCGCCGATGACGTGCGCAGGTCCACGGGCTCGGTCGGTGCTGCTGGGTCCGGCCTGCAGGGAGTGAGGGCGTGTGCGTGTGCGTGTGCGTGTGCGTGTGCGTGTGCGTGTGCGTGTGCGTGTGCGTGTGCGTGTATGTGTGCGTGTGCGTGTGGGTGTGTGGGTGTCGATGCGGATGAGGCCACAAAGGTGTTCCCGGCTAGACGAAAGGGGGACACGGAAAGAGAAGTAGACGGCTGTTGGGGGGAACTGGAGGGCCGCGGAGGGTCTTGTGAGTCCTGCATTCCCCGGGGGTGTACCGACGGCAGGCGGGTAGCGCGGCGGCAGCATATCGACACACATGCCCCTAGCTAGCCATCCTCGCGACCGCAAATCTGGCCCCCCTCCACATCCCACCCACCCACCCACCCACCCACCTAGCACAAATGGAGCCAGCGACAGTGATGTTCGCCTCTTCTAGCATCTTCAGCATGTCGCGTGCGGGGCCGCCGCCGCCGCCGCTGATGCCACCGCTGACGTAAGCGGCGCCGCCGGCACTGCCAATGCCATCGCCACAAGAAACCCCGCACCAGCCGCCGCCAGCTCCGTAGTTCCTCTCCTTGCTTCCATCATCATCCTCATAATCGCTCGAACCATCTCCGCCCAGGTGCACGCCGACACCCGCCATCGCCGCGGCCTGACTCGCCTCTTTATGCCTTGCCGTACCGTATTCTGCCGTACTAGCGTCACCCCCGTAGTCAAAGCCGATATGAGGGGGCGGCGACAGCTTTGTGAGTTGGCTCGATTTGCTGTACGGCACGGCGGCAGCGTCGGCAGCTCGCCCCAGGAGTCCCCCCCATGGGTCGTTGCCGCTGTCCCTGGCGCCGCAATCACCACCTGGCCCACCCATCATGCTTGAACCCCGGGCGCGGAGCACCTTCATCACGCCTCCGCCTCCGCCAGATGATCTGGTCCCCATGGCAGCCCCTGATGGTACGGCACCGGCACTCAGCCGACTACGTCCGCGGTGGCTCCCGCAGCTACTGCCGGTCTCTGTATCCCCAAGGAGGAGACCACTTCGCGGTTTGTTCAGGTTGGAACCGGCGCCGGAGCCGGTGTCCATCGGGGGGTGCTGCTGGCTACTACGGGGATGCCCCAGCCCGGTACCGTGTTGGCCATTGGTGACGTCGTTGTTTCCTGGCTGCCGCTGCTGGGCGCCATAGTGACCCATGGGTCGGGAACGAAGGTAAACGGCAAACAGTTGGCTCATCGTGCCGCCACTGTTGCTCGTGTAGATGTTGTCCGTGCCAAAGGGGCTGCAGCTGTCGCTGTACCAGTTTCCTTCGGTACTTTCAGCCGGCGGGCCGCCGTGCAACACGTGGTCGCCGTACAGCTGTAGCTTAGTCAGCGGCAGCGAGTGCGCTCCCGCAGCGGCACTGGCCGCGTGTTCTTCTGTGCTAGTAGCGGTGTTGAAGCGCGTGCAACTACCGGCGTCAATGCTGGCGCGTTGGGAGGCTCCAAGACGTCGACCAAGAACACGAGCACTAGCAGCAACGGCAGCAGCACTTTCGCTGTCACCTGCGCGAATGCTCGTCCCTGCCACCGCGGTGGGGCTGGTGGGAGGGGCCAGCGGCTCCGAAGTCCTGTCCATCGCGGCCGAGGCGACGGAGGCCGCGGTGAGGGGACTGCTGCTCCGCCTGAACAGGCCCCAGAGGAGGCTCCTCCTTGCGAGCCCATCACGGCAGGTGCTGTTTGGGGGCCCTGACCCCGGGGAAACTGACGCAGCGCCGTGGGCCGGTTCCTGGCTGCTGCTAGTTGCAGGTGGCGGTTGGTGAGCGCCGTACACATCGTACGGCGTGTCTGCTGTTCCTGCTACTGCTACGCTGCAGCTGAAGGGTGAGGAGAAGGGGGGAGACGTACTTGTTGGGGTGCTGACGGCGGCTGACGGCAGGACGATATCGGCAGCAGCGGCTGGGCTCGCAAGGGCAGCCATTGCTACTTGCATCTGCTCGACCAGCGCGGGTGCCCGCAGCTCAGGTCCGTGTGTTGACCTCCCTTTCCTGCCGCGAATGGACTGATCTGGACAACTCGCTGGGTTGAGGACGGCGCCGGCGCAGCCACCACCACCACCACCACCACCACCACCACCACCACCACTACCACCACTACCACCACCACCACCACCACCACCACTACCACCACTACCACCACCACCACTACCACCACCACCACTACCACCACCACCACTAGCACCACCACCACCACCACCACCATTGCAGCCCTTTTCCACCAGGGATGGTGGTGATGATGGCTGCGGTCCGCTGCCAAGAGCCTTTTGGCCCAGCTGCATCAGCCCTAGGTGGGTCGCCAGTGACGCGGCCATGCTTCGATGTCCTAGAGGGCGAGGCGCTGCCGCCGAGGGGGACGTAGCCAGGCCTTGGCTGATTGCAGCTGACTTCAGAGCCTCGCCCTTGTTGCTCTTACTGCAACCTTGCCGTCTTGGCGCTACTACTGTTCTGACATTGGGCAGATAGCGGCTGCTGCGAGGCAGAGCACCGTGGTAATGGCTGGGATGGGGACGACAGCTAAATTCAGTTCCGGGAGGTTCAGGGAGAATGTCCGGGAAGGGATGTGTGGCGGGATCCAGCAGGTGTGCACGCAGCGCGGCGATCTGGGTCCTTAGAACGCCCATGGCGCCGTCGGCGAAGTCGTCACCAGCAACCGCAACAGCTGGCGCCGCTCTGTCGCAGGCACCTAGAGTCTCCTTGACGTGGCGTTGACGCAAGGATGGGGACGACGAGCGCGTGACGCTGGAGCGAGCGGGAGTGTCGCTACTGCTGCCGTGCCCCGCCGTGGCACAGCTGCGGCTGTCTGCTGCTGTGATGATGTGCCGCTCCTTGGCCCGCTCAGCTCGCTTTCCCGCGGGGTCCACTGCCGGTTGTGGCTGCGATACTGCTCCATCCAGTAAATTACAGAGCCTGCCTAATCGCCGCGGCGCATTGACGGAGGAGTTGGCGGCAGGGGAGACGGCGGTCGATGCGGGGTCAGCAGCGTCTGGGGGTGACGCGGGGTGGCTTACATCACCTACTTTAATCCAAGGGGATCCCTCGCCAACCTCATCCTCTTCCGGAACCATCGCAGAGCGCCGAAAGCCGTAGCCGGCATATAGCAGTGGCAACGGCGTGCTGTTGTACATCGTATTCCGCGCCTCCTGCGGAAGGCCGTTGCCTGGCGGCTGCTGCTGGTGCTGGTGCTGCTGCTGGTGCTGGTGCTTAAGAATTGTTATTGCAGCGGCCATGGATGGGGACTGTGACGTCAGGTCCCAGGGTGAACCAACACCGCTGCTGCTAGGTGGACGCGGCGAAGTGATCTGCAGCCGTGGTAGGGGCAGGGAGAAAGGTTCTGCTGCAGGTCGGGGGACAGCACCGTACAGTAGTGGCTCTCTGAGGCAGCGAGTATTACTGCCATATTCACAACGGCCAGCCGCTGCGGTGGCGTTGTTCCTTTCGCGCCGTTGCTCTGTTTCGACGGTGTTGCCCACACAAGGTGTCCGGCAGCCTGATTCCACTTCACGACTGCAACCGCCATCCGTATGGCTTACCGGCTGGACCTGTGTGTCGTTGCTGTTCCTGCCGATGAAGTTGTTGTCATAGCTGCTGGCGGCATCGCTTGTATTAACAGGCCAGCTGCTGCTGGCGCATTCGCATGTCGATTGCACGGCGGGTAATAAGGACGGCGGGGAGGTGCTGTTGGTCTGATGGCGGCCAGGAGTGATGATGACAGGCTGCTGGTCGAAGGAGAAGGCGCTGGCTGTGGCCGCCGCCGCCCCCTTTTCCGTATTTGCTGTCTGATCTGCGGCGCATGAGCCAAGCACCTCCAACCCCTTTACCGCCGCTCCCATGGCCGCCGGATGGGGACTGCAGGAAGCTTCAGAAGGCTCCCTTCCGGCAGCTGCACTGGCGGGTTCGCTGCCGTTCAAAAGCCTACCCGTGTCCGGTCCTGTCGCGCTTACGCCCGATGAAGGCTCGCTGACCACCCCTGAGTTGGCTGTAGCCTGCCGCAGAGTGTACTGCTGGTCTCGGGGCCGTAGCACTTGTATGGGCAGGGAGCCAGCGGCCGCTTGTGGTTGCTGCGGCTGCGGCTGCGGCTGCGGCTGCGGCTGCGGCTGCGGCTGCGGCTGCGGCTGCGGCTGCTGCAAATGCGGGGGCTGCTTCTGGTCACTCGGAACACGGCCAGCATCATTGCCTGCATCATCGCCATTTAATTGGCAGCTGCAGGGCACCTGTGAGCAGCTGGAGCTGCTGCTTGGCAGGCAGGTAGGGCTGCTGGGCGGCAGGCAGGTAGGGCTGCTGCTTGGCAGGCAGGTAGGGCTGCTGGGCGGCAGGCAGCAGGCACCAGCGGAGGCGCCGCCAGCAATGGCAACAGCAGCCAAGCCACCCGTGCTGGAGCCCTGGATGGTGGCTGCTGCGCTGGTGGCGGCGAGGTGATGTAGCTTGGGATCCGGGGGGGCCGAACCGTCCAGCAGCATCTCGAATCCACACAGCGTCACATTGGGTCGGCCTTCGTGCGGTAAATGTGTCGTTGCTTTCGCTGCCTCTGGTTCCCCATCCCCTTCTACCATTGGGCTGTTACACGAGGGCACGTCGGGGCATATGGCTCTGCCTTTGCTGCTGTACTGCGCCTCCAATGGTGACGTATGTACCGCCATCAGGCCCCGGCCGCTGGTGTAAGCTCCGCATCCGTTGCTGCTGCAGCGGTGAAAGCGCCAGCTGAGTTGGCCGCTGCCGGGTTGCAGCTTACCAAAGATCTGGTGGGAAGTTTGATGTATGCACGGGTGCAGAGGGAAGGCTAGGAAGCGAAACAAAGCGCCGATACCCACATGAAATCCCGTACTAGAGGAGTTCGAGGACCGGAGAGGAGAAAGGATACCTGTGGTGTGCGTGTAGACTAACAGCGGATTGAAAAAGAAGGTTGTGGCAATCCCTCTTTTTACAGGTTTTGCTTTGCCATCAATAGCAAGGTGTTCTTCAGTTCTACAGTTTTTCAGCCAGGGCTTGATTGGCTACCTCTGTCACCTTGGGATATCACATGGCCATGCAGCCATGCACTGGCCTAGCTACCTCAAGGACCATTCGCACGTGCGAGACAATAACAGGAGCAACAACTGATAGGAACGCGGTGGCACCATCAGCCATCATCTCAAGCTGCCCACCTGCCGTAAGGAGTGGAAACCAGGGAGAGACGCGCGAGGGCTTCGCGGGGTGGATGCCTGCTGCCCGGCTTGATCACCGGTTGAAGTTAAGGCAAGTCTTAGCGACGCGGAAGCGACTGTAAGGGCCTGGCCCGCGCTGCTGCAGGCGGCGCTGCTAGCAGCGCCTGCGCTAGTGCGGCCGTTGCCATCCAATCCCTCCGCCTCCGCTCCCACGTTGCGCCGTAGCAGCCACCCCCATCTGCTGCGTCCGGAGCGTTGCAGTAGTAGTTGCTGAAGAGAGCTGGCAGCTTCGCGCGCTCCACGCGGCAGCAGGCCCTCCTTCCTTGCCACAAGGCCCACATGCTGTTGCTGGCTTGGATCCGTCTCAGATCCTGCCAAGCTCACGCCCCTTCCCGCCTGAGGCCGAGCTGATGCCTGTGGCAGCAGTATGTCGCCCCTACTCCAGGCGACCAGTCCGTTCAAATCGGCCAGAAGCTGCTGGATATAGTGGTGCTCCTGGATACGAGCGAGTGACCCATGGGTCGACATGAGGCGGTGCGCCAGGGTGTTGGCACGCCAGGCCTTCTGTCGGGCGATGTCCGCGCGCATGACGGCCGGTGCCGTCGGAGGCAGCGTGTGTGTCAGGTGCGCCAGCAGCCAGTGGGATTGGAGCTGGCGCACCAGGGGGCTTGTGGAGATGTGCGACTGGGTGTGAGGGTTGGGCGTGGCGGGGCGAATGGTAAGGAGGTAGCAGCAAGCCAGGGTGGTAAGGAGAGATGACGCGCGGTAGCTTGGTAGAACGGCGAATCCGCCAGTCGAAATCAGGCATCTCAGCATTGTCACGGCGTGTCAATACGTAATGGGGCTTCTGTTGCTCTGTAACGCTATAGTGTAAAGTCCAAGTTTGTCGGCGGGCTACATATGGCTATGGGCAAAAGGTCACGGAAGGCGCAGGAATTATGCGCTTCCTCTCCCCGCCTCGCCTCACCTCCGCTCCCCAAAAGATGAGACCTGGCAAATCTGGGTGGACCATTCCTCGATATAGCACCAACGGGGGAGCGTCCCACCAGCCTCCTTTCTTGTCACCGCCGCCAGGAGCGCCACCGTTGATACCGTCTACTGCGTGCAGCAGCACCTCCTTCAGACGCTGGCCCAAGAAGGGCATGACCCGTGGGTCTCTCAGGCTGGGCGCCCACACCACCACAGGCTGCTCAGACGGCTCGGCTGCAGCGCCTGCTGCACCTATCCCCAAAGCAGCCACTTGGGCAGCCGCCAAGCCGCCGCCACCCTTCTCGCAGCCCTCGCTTCGCCGTACCGCCCGCTCTGCCTTGCCCTTGACATAGGCCCAGAAGCGGCGCTTGGTGGGGCCAATCAACGCCCTTCCCACCGGCCCCGGGATTGGCGTTGTATAGTGGGGCTGCAGGGCCGCCTGCAGGGCGCGGCGCCGCGCCTCATCCAAAAGGGCTGAGCCCGGGAGGGCGGCAGCAGCCGCGTTGAAGGCGGTCCCGGCTGCGGGACAGCTGGGGGATTCTCGCGAGGTGCCGCAGATGGCGACTTGCTCGTGCATCTCCTGTGGCCTGCCAACGAGCTCCTGTTGAAGACATAGCGGGAGGCGCATTCGTACTAAACAGCCGCTGAACGCTGCGCGGTTAGCTTCATGTACTGGATTGTAGCGGCTCTTCGTTTGTGTGGCTGATGCAGCAGCGGCATGGGCAAAGGGCAGCCCTCGCCAAATTGTCGTGCGGATGGATGGATGGATGGATGGATGGGTGGACCGTACCAATCTTTACTTACATGCGCTTCAGAAGCCGGCTCCGAGGCCGGTGGTGACATGACCAGCTGCACACCCCGCCCCTCGTTGAGCAGTGAAATGGCACATGCGGTGTCCCAAGCGTCCGCACCTACTCAAGGCAGCGGAGGGGGCCCATGGATACGCGGCACATCCAGTTCACTTGGAGCTCAGTACACCACTCGAGGTGAGCAGGAACCCATGTGCACCCCGCCCATATAGGGCCACATGTGCATGAGCGAACTATCTCTGAGGTCGTCGTAAAAAATCCTTAAGTTTTTTTTCTAAGCTTTTTTTTCTAAGCTTTGCGCATTAGGTGGCCCCTGCCTGCCTCTGCGCAATAGTTTGCAAGGCACTAGATCAACATGATAAAACCCACCATCGCCGACCACGACGACTTGCTTTCCAAGCACAGCATTCGGATGTACGCTGTGGACTTCACGCTGAGAGGCTTGCGATAGCGATGTTGAGGATGAGTTCTGCGGTTGGATGCCAAAGGAAAGTTTTCCCTTATTTTCGGAAGCCACTTGAGCAAAACCAGTTTCATACGGGATAGATGCCGGACGCAGCAACAAGCAAATCGAAATTTGAAATCCCGAGCTGAAATAAATAATATAAGACGGTTGACCGCGACCGCATTCGAAAGCTTACTGCTGCTGTAGTGATGGCATACGATGTTTGGTGTCGAACCTGAGCACCCCAATATTCAGGACACGAAGATAACACTATTGGATTGGGGAGATCGTCAGCCTCCCCTGCAGGCGTGATTATATATGCCGTCTGAGCTCATCTGCTGTTTGTAGTTGAAAGGCATGTCATTTTTGCCCAAGTCCCGCCATCAGGGCGTCCCCAGCCGGGGCTGCTGTTCTTCGAGTGCATATATATGTCTCCGTTTCCCTTTAATTCGCTAGCCTTGCAGATGCGATATTCACGGACAGCGGGCGGGGAACCCAGGAGCGTTTCTTACCCTTTCCGTAATGTTGGCGCAAACGATAACGGAGTGGAAAGTTTCATTCATGCGGCGCCCGTCAGGGTGCTCGACACTCGCGTACCAAGCGTGGTCGCCATGATGGCTCCCTGCCTCCAAGGCCAGAAGCACAGCACCGGATGGTTTTGGGGCAGGGAAGTCCTGCGAACAAAGTTACAATGCAGCTTAACTTCATGGAAACATTATGAGTTAAATGGGCAGTAGGAGGCACGCTGGCAACCCTAAAGTAATCGAAAAAGTGAGCGTGGCGAAACAGCTCGTGTGCATCGCACATAGACTGTACATTTTGTCCATCAGAGATAAATGTCTTCTTTTTATTTCTGATGCACTATATGTTGAAATACAGCTAAAGGGAGTGCTAAAAAGAAGATTGGCGAGCTTGTCCTACCTCCTGCTGACCTAACAATGATTGGTTGGAAGGAAGATGCTGTAAGCTTGAGTGCTTGTGATATGCTATGAAAATTTCAAATCCAGCATCGTGAAGCTTAGCGGTGACGGCTGCATCTGGAGCAGGCTCGCAGGCTGCCGGGACGACCAATAGAACTCTAGGCATCGCAGGAACTTTAACGATTTCAACTACGACGAATATAGACCGACTTGAAAGAGGTTATTTAGAAAACTTAGTGTGTCAAGCCGTCATTTGCCTTCCGCCTTGATGCAACAGTCGGAATACCGCCTGTACGTCCTCCTGAAAACATATTATGTATCAATAAGATGAGCATACAGCTCCTGTGCCATCACTTTTCGATAATACAGTTGCTCGGGAGCCGTACTAGGAAGTTTTGCACTGCTTCCCAGTGCGGCCAACAATTTCGCCATGTAGGATCCTGCCGCAAGCTTTACTAAAAATGATCTATTATGATGGGTTGGTCACGAATCATGAGTGTCGAAGTCTTTCGTATCATTCCTGGTTCCTGCCTGGTGCGGTTTCAGCTGAAATACAAACCGTAACGTAACCAAATGTAACCACAAACATTGCATTTCCGATCCTTCTTATGGCTCCTAGCAAGCTTTTCTATTTCCCATCTGCTATGTTAACCTCAGCCTTTGATACAATAACATGGGCTGTGCCCAAATGGCACACGGGGATGCAGTCAGTCGCACAGGGTTGAAGCCAGGCGAACGTCTTAATGGAACCGCGCATCCACAAGGAAAACGATTATCCTATGTTCAGAAAATGAGTTATGACGAGCTAACCAAATTATCCAGACTGATATGCCATAGCAGTGTGCTTGCTTTTATAGTGTGCACATACCGGCTGCAAATGGCAAGCATTCAGGTACCAGACCACGGCCCAGATTTGCTGAACGTATTGGCCGTACAACGCCTGCTGCGCCGACTGGGCAACTGGCTATGGCGGTTGGCGTATGATAGCTGACAGTTGGTATCTGGAGTTACGCGGCTGGTGATTGGCGGTTTGAAGGAGGTTGGCAGCTGCTGCTGGTTGGTAATTGGCGATAATGAGCTTACAGTGCCCTCTAAAAAACCACAAGAGGGCAATACTGTGTGTCGCCATCCAGATCCTTGCACCTGTCCTACTGGGCCCAGCCCTGAACCGCAAATACCTGGCAGCTACATTAGATAAGAGCTGTGACCTCCGCTTGGCCTCCCAGCAGCAACAAGGCCCTCGTAGAAAGCATCGCCGCGTTTCACGGCAGGACTTCACGGCAGGCAGAGGGTAGAGGAGCCGCAGCACTACCGCAACCCTACTGGCTGCTGCTGGTGTCGGACGAAGCCAACACGCTATCGACCACACGGCCTTAACACACCCGCGCGCAGCGCACAATTTTTTCGGTGCCCCGCAGCACAATTGCTGCATCGGCGGTGCAGCAGTATTTCACAGCACGTATTCGAAAAGAAGTTGTACATAAAGCGGCGGAATAACCAATTTTATAAGATCAATACTTTTTACGCTGCTACAGCCGGAACAAAACAAACAAAGCTCTAACAGCCGGATCACGGCCAGGAAGGGCAAAAGCACATGCGACTTTGCCTACCATGAATCGCCCATGCATGCAAAAAATGCGCATCACCGCCAGCATCACACCACAACCCGCAATGGCAACCTGTCCAAGCCCCCATGACATGACATGGCAACCCGTATGCGCAACTCCTACAACCTGCGTTTTTGGTCAGCCGCCGTTTCAGATCACATGCACCTCGCCCGGGCCGGCCGGGCCTGCAGCCTCCATCGTGCACATGCCTGCTGCAAAGCCTCGTCATCGCTGGTCCCATTTCATGCGGTACTACTGCTGCTGCTGCTGCGATTACCTAGTGCATGGCAGGCCGTCCCTCGCGGTCTGCCTGTCCAATGCGATCAAACATACATCACACCTACATCTACAGCCCTCTGCCATGCTAACGCAGTGCTAGCAATGCAGCAGAAGAAAAAACGTAGATGCTAAGTCTAATTAAACGTCGGGGGCGCCCGCAGAGAGCCTGAAGTTGTAGGTCAACAAAGTCGCCCACTGGTTCGGCGAGTTTGCACGCGAGAAGTCCGCGCCAACCAATCGAACGACGCCGTACGAGGGCGTGATGACCTCCACCACCACTTGGCTGCGGGCGGCCGGCCAGGGTCAGGGGCAGTCAGGACTCTTACTCTCCGACCCGACCGGGAGAATGTAAGTAAGGGCACGGAGCAAGCATTATAAATAAGCATCATAAAATAGAACGGCAGGAGGTCTGGTGTGCGTTGATAAGCATTCAGATTGTAGGAAGGCAGGCATGTTCATATTCATATGTAGACAGGCAGCATATTCATATTCGTCATTACACGCGCGGCGCACGCAAAGCCACAGCTTGACACGCACACACAGCGTTCGTTCGCCAAATCAACAAGCTAGGTACACGACGTGCATGGCCGATGCCCCCCACGGGAGCGAGCACACTTACCCGCCGGAGGAAGTGACATAAATGGGCTTCCAGGAGGCGGCAGGGATGCCCGTGCAGCTGAGCGTCATCACGTTAGCTGAGTGGCTCAGGGTTGCGGGCACTTGGGTCTCGCCGTAGGGGTCCATGTTGGCTTTGAACAGCGTCACGGAGTCAGACGGGGAGTTGACGATTACCGTCTGCATCAGGGGGCCATCAGGGGACCATCAGCGCGAGTCGCAGCCAGAACTGAGGTATGCGAATGTAGCGTAAATGCGAAGCAAGTCTGAGCTAAAAGACTCATGACAAGACCTCAAGACCCATGCATAATTCCGTGCCTTCAAACTAATGTGCGGACTGCAACTGACGCTGACAGCTCTTGCGGATGGCCCCTCCTCAAAGGGGGGGATTGGCCCCTTGGCGGCCAATATGGAATATCCACCGCCAGCTATAGCTTGCGCTACTCTGTGGGTGTGCGTGTGTGTTCATGTATTCAATTAATCTAAGCCGCGATATGGGAACAGTGCGTGTATATGTGCGAGCGTGTGTGCATGTGCGTATGTTTAGTGGGTATGTGTGCGTTACCCTCCAAAGGTGTAGATGTAAAGTTCTCTTGGGCTCTAAAAGGGTTTCTCGCTCGGTGCGCAACCAACCGTTGTTCACCCGCGCACCTTGGTGCAGGTGACCTCGGGGTACCCGGTAATCCGGGTGAGAAGTACGGCAAGCCCGCTGGCAGGCACCACGTTGGGTGTGGTGACCATCACGGTCAGGATGGTGGTTCCGTTGTTCACCTGCGGCGGTTAGTCAGTTACGACAACAGCAGCAGCAGGAAGCAGCATTAGCAGGCAGGCAGCAAATCGGCAACAGATGGAGGTAGGGAGGTAGGCCGGTGGGTGGGTGGAAAACGAGCCAGGTGTAACCGGAACCGTTGACCATACAGAGCGGCGTGCAATAACCACGGTGCAATAACCTTTGGCGTGGCGTCCACGAGGAGTTACTGTTGTTAATGAAGAGCGGCCTCGCACAAGTCTCACAGTGGCGTGTAGTCTCACGTTCGCTCACCCGCTCCGTACACCAATGTACGGCGGTTAATGCGGAGGCCCCTCGCACGGCCACTAGCTATCTAGCTATCCTGCTGGTTGGCTGGTGCCAAATCCACACACGCATTTTTAAATATACTGACATACTGACATACGGCCGTATAAATGTACGGTACGCATGGCAATAAACCCATCTCAGCATCTGTATCCTTTAATACCCGTTCGCAACAGGTTGTTTTCCGTACACGAAACACATGTGTCCAGCACAATACCTTTTTCCCCGTGTCGTCGGTAACCTCATGAAACCAACTCAACAAACAGTGCAGCAATAGCCCTCTGCGCTTACAGCCTTCCCCTTCGTACCACGTCGGCCAGGACGATCTTGTCGCTTAACGCGAAGTTGGACCTCGTGTATGTGTTGTCATAGACAATAGTCGCCGAAATCCCTGCCACGTACTGCAGCGGCTGGTAAGCAATGTAGCCCGGAGCAAAGGCCTCCAAAGCTGCAAGCAACACGGGAATGAAAGGGCGCAAAGTAGGTCCCCGGAAAACGACAACGGAACCAGCAACACGAGCAAGGACACGCCGGGAGCGGTGGAAGGAGGCGAAGCTGTCGGGCCAGGACGGAATGGCAGGAAGGGGCAGGAAGGGGCAGGAAGGGGCAGGAAGGGGCAGGAAGGGGAAAGGAAGGGGAAAGGAAGGGGAAAGGAAGGGGAAAGGAAGGGAGTATCTTTGACGATAAGGACATATCCCCATCCGCTCCCATATATGCTTATAGCATGCCGGGCGCTTTGCAGGTACGGGGAACGCACCCACGACCATGTAACACACACACACATGCTCCTAGCATGCCATTCCCTCGTCCCGTGCTGGCTGCCGTTAAGGTCCAGGGTAAATCAAGCCACATGCAAGCCGCAAACGTGACTTTCCTCTGGATAAGGGTATGTATGCATGTCCCCTCTATGCCTGCCTGCCCTGGCTGAGGAGTAGAACCCTACCGTCAGCCAGTGCCTTCTTGCGCGCTTGGTCTGCTGCGTTGAGCGTGTTGGCCGGGCCGTCCGTAATGACGAGCGCTACCTTGGAACCAGCACTCAAGGGGGGGGAGGGTGGTAGCGGCGGCGACGGTGGCGGCGACGGCGCCGGCGGCGGGCTTGGGCGCGGCGGCGACTGCACAACATGAATTGACATGGACAGCGACCAACGTGGCGGCCAACGTGAGAGCGCGCATGTTGCTATGGGGGGGCCGGGGACCTCAACAAAAAACCGTCTTCAGTCGTGTCGCCCAGGTGCACTGTGTTGGGTGTGCGGTTGGCGGTCTATCTGAATGACCTCCAGGACCCCCGTGTGCCTCATGTGGGTTGCTTAGTGGGCAGGACAGAATGATCTCGTATCCAAACATTCAAACATTACCAGCTAAAGCGTCACTGCAAGAAAGAAAAGAACAAACTCATCGCATGTGGGACACAGTGACTCCAAAGCAGCGCTATCGTTTCAGGTCCCAGCCGCATGGGCTGCACTGCGCCGTACCGGGGGACGTGGCGGTGATGGTCCAGGCGGGCGAGGAGCGGGCGACGGTGGCGGCGGTGGTGCGGGTGCTGGCACCAGCGGGAGCGGGTACACAGTTAAGCGGGTAATGGCGATCTTGCCGGCGCCGCGAGCACCGCTCGACATGTCATAGCCGACAAAGCGAACGTTGCCACCACCTGCATTCCAAACATCCACCCGGCATTCCACAATTATACTATTATTTAAATATCACAGTATTTACAATATTATAATAGAATACATAATAATTAAATGTAATATTGATAAATTTAATAGGATGTTGCAGCGGCAACGCACAGCAAGGGACGCCAACACCCGACCACCTGACCGCTCTTCGTCCCCCAACCCCCGCCGTTTTGGGAGAGCCGCCGGAAAGGAAATTCATGGGACAGTATTTCACAGACCTAACAACACTTCTAAAGGTTCAGCTAGTGTCTCCAGATGCACCGCTCATCCCAGCACTCCTTGCTCACCCGGCGCTGTGAATTCGGCCGCAATTGGGCGGCCGTTGTCCGCGGACACGTACACGGGGGCGCTATTCGTGCACCCGACGGATGTGGTACCGCCGTCGCTCTTCCACGCATCCACAAGATCGTTAAGGATGTTGGCAGCAGGCGGGAAGCGGGTTCCGTTGGCGAAGGGCCCCTGGTAAGAATGGGGAGAGAGAGGTTGGGGCGAGGACCCCGACAGGGTGGTTACTGGTTCGTTCGATTAGGCGGCAACAGGAACAACGGGATAGGTGGCATCATCTACTTGAAAAAGGGTCAGGTTGCGCATCTTAGAACGGATAACACGGAGGGAAGAGCAAGCCTAGGAGCTGGCTGGCAGGCTGGTTCTATGGGTAGGCGTGCTGGCTGTGACAACGGACCGGGCCGCACATAGCATCTCTTTACATCGCTAACTACACCCCATATGCTTTTAAATCATGATAGACAACCTCAGGCTGCATGTCCTATCCGTGGAACTGCTGTCCGGCAGGCGCCTGGGCTGGCTGCCATTCAGGGCGAGTGGGGCGCACCTTCAGACACTGGACGTTGGTGTAGGTGGTCGTTTGAGTGACAATGGAGGATAGGTTGGTTGCCGTGGTCTGCCGGGGGGTTAAGGGAGGACAGGGAGGACAGCAGCATGGCCGCGCAAGTGAGGTAAGGGAAGTGTTGCTAAGTGTCGGAATTTTGAGGTAAGGGAAGTGTCGCTAAGTGTCGGAATTTTGAGGTAAGGGAAGTGTCGCTAAGTCGCCAAAGCCCCGCGTAAAGAGGCCCCACTTACATGCACAGGTACGTGCACGTGCGGGTTGGTTGGTCAAGTGCAAGTCGAGTGGTGAAGGTCTTACAAATAGTTGTTTACGACGGATATAATTTGGCAAACATCTATGCACGCCATCTGTAGCACTGGTGGCTGTCCAAAAGGCCTCTGCAGATCTGTGCACCAAAAAAATTATCATTTATAGTCAAATGCCCTTACATAGAAATTGTACGGCCATATCCGTACAGCCCGCCCGTTAGTGCGCCGTCCCGGCCCAGGGTTTGGGGTGGGCCGTCCTAGGGAATGTGCCCACCTTTAACATGCACACAAGGCCCTCTCCCCCCATGCACACACCCCACCACATACACATACACATACACATGCACATGCACATGCGCACCTCGGGCGTGACGATGACGGTCAGCAGGGTCTGGCCGATGAGAATGCGGGTGAGCAGGTCCTCGCGCACAAGCGGCGGCAGGCTCAGGTACACGTTATCGAACACCTGTGTTGCACAGCGGCCGTACGTACGACAAGCTCACACACATCCATCGCTTTGCGCAATGCCACGACGGCTACAGTACCAGCAGTCCGCAGCATAGATAGCAACAACTTGAAGTTGGCTTTGCGGTTTGCGGTTTTATGGTTTTAAAACCCTAAAACCCTATTATGTACTTTTATAAATATGTGATGTTACATTTTCTGGAGTTGCGTTACCCTCCTCCGCCGCCAGGGTCATAAGAGGTATTCGTAGCTGTCAGCAGCACCACCTCCCGACCGACCGACCGGCCTGACTGAGCTGCCAACAGCAGTGGGCACTGGGGCATCTGGGGTGCAGAGCTGGCGGCGGAGGCTAGCGTCTGTCATTCAGAATAGAATATACCGACACCCACACATCAAAGCGCGCAAGTATTTGGAAAGTGCGGATCCGGACAACGATGGCTCTCTCGTACGGAACTCCATTGTAGGAGCTCCATTAGGGTCCCCACAGGGTCCCAGTGGCCAGCGACAACGCAACACAGCGCATGCAACATGTACCTCACGTACAGCAGGTACCTCACGTACAGCAGGTACCTCACGTACGTATGTGGTGGTGCCTCCACAGCTTACCACATGCACTGGTGCGTTGCCAAGCGTGGTCTGGTTAACAATGTTTAAGTCACTCAGCTCCCCCAGGCCCAGGAGGTATAGCGCCTTGCGGCTGGTGTCGACGACACCGCGGGTGATGTTGTCCGTCAAGAAGATGGCGTCGTAGCGGTTGCCTGCGAGGAAAGTCGAAAGAAAGGGTAAATCAAACGTAGTACTTGCCGTGCAGTACGGCACACACACGCAAGGAGTGTATAATATACGCATATGTGCTGAAGCTCAGTACCAGCATCCTGACGGGCTTCTTAGGCGGAACCGGGTGGTGCCCGCCAAGCCAAGGGTGGTGCCCGCCCAGCAGCATCGTGGGAGCTCGCACGAGCAAGGGCAGGAGCAAGCGACCCACTCAAAATGGCAATCGATGATGAGCTGATGAGGTGCCTCTGAGCATGCACGTACCAATGGGTGGCGGGGGAGCGCGCAGCGGCCGTGGCGGCAGAGCCGCGGGTGGCGGCCGCGGCGGGCGGTAGAACACCGGCTCCAGGGGCGCATCCGGCGATTGAGGCGGCGGCGAGGGTGCGGGGCGCGGCAGAGGCGGCAAAGGCCGTGTGGTCAGGGCCGTCATGTTAAGGAGCGGTGCAGCGAAGACGACCAAGGAGGTGAGCGGCTTGCGGTTGTCGCCGCGGCCGCCAGATGCGAAGTTGTAGCCAATGAGGCGAACGACACCGCCGCCTGCATGCATTTGTGGCGTATTGGTGCAGGGCGGAAAAAGGGAAGAGGTTACTGCCGGTTGTTGTTTGTTGATAAAACTTTAGTTTTGCAGTGGGATTGAGTGCAGTCCTGGAAATGTATGTAACGTTTCAGCCAAGGTAGTAATGGAAAAGTGGCATCTGCATCTGCAGCAGCAGTAGCAGCATTGAAGGTAAGGGGCGGCAACAGCCCAAGCAGAAGCGGAAGCGGAAGCCACAACAACCCAACAAGTCGGCCAGGCAGCCAGGAATGGGGACCGTGTGTGTGTGTCTTTTGTGTGTGTGTGTGTGTGTGTGTGTGTGTGTGTGTGTCTCTTGTGTGTGTGTGTCTTGTGTGTGTCTTGTGTGTGTGTGTGTGTGTCTGCAAGTATCTGTGCTTATGTGCTTGTGCGCGTGCGTGTGTTTGTGCACGTTCCGCGGTGTGTGTGACGGGGTGCCCTACCGCACATGCAGGCGCCGGAGCACGAGGGCTCCCCCCCCCAGGGACCGAAGCGCAACACTATTCCACTGGGTGCGACGGTCCCATCATAGCTGCCCTCAACCCTAAACTGAGCAACAGGTTATTCGCCCCACCAAGCGCTGAGGGACGATGAGAGCCTCACCAAGAGTCGGCGCCTCAATCACCACCGCTTGCCGCGTGTCCGTGGCTACACCGAAAAGGGGCGCACCCAGATTAGCCCTGAATGAATGTGCATCAACACAGGCCATAAGTGTGCGTTAGGGTTTTTGAACGGAGTAGGGAGAGAGAAAGGGGGGGGGAGGCAAAATGGAAAAGAGTGGCAGCGATTTAATAGACAGATTTCTATACATACACACATGATATTTAACAGGCATGTAGTTACCTAGGCAAGCTAGCGGGGACAGGACGCTTCCCAGGGAATTACTGTCCGAATGACACGGGGATGCATCGCTTTGGGCCCCTCCTGTCCCCCTCTACAGTGTGACAGAGCTACATACGTGCGTAGCGGAACAGGTCGTTCTATGAGCCCTAACCCCGCACCTGATATAGCGCGTGCTGTTGAGCGCGCGCCACCCATCGGTTTTTAGATCACCCAGGGTGTCCACCAGTCGGTTGATGCGTTGCGTCTCGGGGACGCTGCCCTGAAGGGGGAGCGAGCGTAATGAAGCACGAGCACATCTAAAAAGTGCACAGCATGTAATAGGGTCATAATCATTCATCACTCAAAGCGCATGCCGCGTTCCAAGTCCACTGTGCCGTGGGAAGTGAGCTACTGTTTGGTAGCGGGGGTGCGAATGGGTGCCCTCCTTGTGTGTTATATCCCTTCTTGCAGTTCGTCTGTCCAGTGTTCTGTGCCCCATCCCCGTCCCGTCCCTTCCAACCCCGGTCGCTGTGCTTTGAGGCGGGGTAGATACACCCTAACGCGACCCGTTCGAGGCTTGGCGCTGGGGTTTCGGATGCCCGATGCCATGCGAGCATATTCTTGGGCCTGTGCCTCATTCCGTGCCACACTGAGGGTGTTGGGGTTTTCCGATTTCGTGTTTAAACTAAAGCTAGCTAGCTTACCGAGTACAATTGCAGGTTGACGGCACCAGTGATGGTGCTGAGCAGCGATGTCAGCCGGGAGTCAGCCACGTTTGCCGTGAAAATGACGGTGAGGATGGTCTTTTTGGCGCGCACCAGGCTCGTGAGGCCGGCGAGATCGGCGTCAGACATGCGAGCCAAGGTGGTGTCGAAGGCTATGTGCACCAGCACGCCTTGTGCGGCCACGGGCCACGGCGTGGCTCGGGTGCCCAGATCGCTAATGCCGTCCTGCAGGACACCAAGGAATGAAAAGTTCTAAGACGAAGCGAAGGAAGAGCAGGAGCAGGAGTGGTAAGCCAAGGATTGGTCGGAGTTGAGGAGGAAAGGAAAAGCTTTGTATGTATGTATGTTGTTACAGGGTGGTTAACTTCGCCAGCGGCCCCCTTTCCCGGGGCAGTCCCTGCTCTCCCCTGCTAGAGGGGCACCCTAATCCGTCACCCCATCCGACTTCAGAATGTATTCGTTGGGTTCGGCAACTCACCACCAGCATCCAACCAAATCTAGCGGATCAACGGCGCATCAACTTAGTTCCTGGTCAGCTCGCAAGTTGATATTATCACGTCCTACACCGTCCATATGATGGGGGGCCACCTCCCATTTCATCACTCCTCAAACACCCGAGGAGCTGGCAGGCGGATTTGAACCCGGGTCGACTGGATCGACTGGGAGCAGAAGTCAGGCCTTAACTTCTGCCAGCCGCCGTATGTATGTTTGTATGTATGTATGTATGCATGTGAAACTACGTTTTTTGCTTATGTGCCATCGGTAAACACGGCGAACGACTCCACAAGCTCCGCAGCAGAAAAAGTAAACAGGTTTAGGACAGGCGTAAGAGATGTAATAACGGAAGGCTACCTATCTGGGCCAGTCCCTAGGGGGCCAAGGCGCCTTTTTGAACGTGTCATGAGAGATGCGGCCACCGCGGCCTCCCGCCACCCGGCCCCATCTCAATCGCACCATCAGGAGCCCCTTCTCTTTAGAGTCCGGAAGATCCACAGGGTCCGACAGCAAGATGGTGGCTGGGATCCGGCCGCCGAAGGGCAATGGTGGCGGAGACGTAGGGCTGCCGTGAGGGAGGTGATGTGAGGGAGGTGATGTGAGGGAGGTGATGTGAGGGAGGTGATGTGAGGGAGGTGATGTGAGGGAGGTGATGTGAGGGAGGTGATGTGAGGGAGGTGATGTGAGGGAGGTGATGTGAGGGAGGTGATGTGAGGGAGGTGATGTGAGGGAGGTGATGTGAGGGAGGTGATGTGAGGGAGGTGATGTGAGGGAGGTGATGTGAGGGAGGTGATGTGAGGGAGGTGATGTGAGGGAGGTGATGTGAGGGAGGTGATGTGAGGGAGGTGATGTGAGGGAGGTGATGTGAGGGAGAGGGCAGGATTCAGGAAAAAGACAGCATATTGTATGGTTAGCACGCGGCAGCCTTCTGCTTGCAGTCTACATGACACCTTTAACCAGTAGCATGACAATCTGTGGCATGACATGCCTGAGAAGGCCAACCTCGTGCTGTCTGAATGAACGGGTTGTTCAGCACGAATATGTGGTGGCTAAGGGTGCAGGGGGAAGTGGCTATTGGCTCCATGTGACTCAATGGGTTCGCGAGGTAATCGGGCCTTATGCCGCCTTGACTCCATCGTCTTAGTTGCGCTACTACCCTCTACAGCTCTAGGTGTTGTCGCTGTCGCTGTTGCTGTTGCTGTTGCTGTTGCTGTTGCTGTTGCTGTTGCTGTTGCTGTTGCTGTTGCTGTTGCTGTTGCTGTTGCTGTTGCTGTTGCTGTTGCTGTTGCTGTTGCTGTTGCTGTTGCTGTTGCTGTTGCTGTTGCTGTTGCTGTTGCTGTTGCTGTTGCTGTTGCTGTTGTGAGCGGTCTCTGATGAGGATTGGAAACACACCTTGTCCTAACCTCCTACTGCACCCCCACACGTCCATGTGTCTCCATGTGTCGCGGCCCATCCACGCCTCTTATTCGCCTAATGGCCTTCATGTCATTGTTGATTCAACCTGCTTTTTTTTACCACAGGTTCTTTCCCTTCCGTCCCCCATCCGGTGGCAGGGTGATGCAGGGGGGTACCCTCCCACCTTGGTGGCGACGGGGTGCTGAACGGCGGCGGCGGCGGCAGCATGGGCTTGTTGTACACTACCGCCAACGTCGCCGTAGCGATCAGCCGTTGACCCGGGCTGGGGTTCGGGTTGAAGAAGCCCTTCGTGTAGCCGCCAGTGGTGAAGTCATAGCCCACCTGCGACACGACATCCCCGCGCAGTTGTAGGATTCCGACCAGGCTCAGGTGTGCTTCACCTTTCTGTCCCCCCCCGCCCCTGCCGACCCGCTGGGACCCCCCGGACATCGTACCCCTCATTCCCCTCATGACTTGCGCCATCCTAGAACATGAGTTGCATCCCTCCCTCCAATTCCCTCGCCTCCATGTCGCCTCCGTGTCCTCCCGCCTATCCCCCGTGTCCGCTCGGGGGCCCCGTGTGTGTGACCGCAAGAGAGGCGAATACAAACCGCCATTGAGGGAGCCCTTCCTTTCTCTCCCTCTCCTACCCAGCCCGCCTTTCCCTTCTTTCCTTCTCACCAGACGGACCAGGCCACTTCCAACCAACAGCTCCCATATGGCGCCTTCCTGCGGGTAGTCGTCAACGAGTACCACCTGCCGTCCAATAGAGCAGCTGATGCTGAGGGTGACCGGGGGAGCCTGATGATGCGGGGGGGGAGGGCGGGGGGTAGGGGGGGACCCCGGCTTCTTCTTGATCCGTAGACTAGACTGGGAGGCCTTTTACCTAATAATAATAATATGTTTGGAAGAAACATCAGGAAATTATAATTAGAGGGATCTCCGCGGGACGTCAGAAAGCCGAAACAGGTCAACGCAGAACCCCGGCGCGATGCTGAATCGAGTGAAGAGATGAGAGAAGTAGCGGAAAGCAACTTGACCAGTTTGTGGTCAGCGAGGGGGAAGTAGCTAGCGGTCTGAGGAGCGTGGAGCTACGGAGGTGCATCAGAGAAATGTAGGGTCGCATGCCGAGGTGCAGCTCTGTTCTGGCTTCTCGTCCCCCCCTGAGCTTCGGACTCTCAGCCCATACCCCGTCCGCGGCCGTCCATCCATCGCGCCCGCACCCGCACCCGTCCCGCAATCTCCTACTCCTGCTCCGGAAAGCCCTTCCTGGACCCGCGTTCCGCAGACCACGCGATCCTCACCGTCATGGCGCTGCCGAACAGATCCACACCCATAATGTTGGAGTAGTCGCTGAAAGGCGCCGCCAGGAGACTGGTAGCGTTGCCGCTGGGCAGGACGCGCTAATTCACACAGCGAGAGGAGAGGGAGAGGGGAGAGAGGAACAAGAGCAGAGGAGAGCAGAGCGGCACGGAGGAGGACGGGAGGACGGGAGGGGGGGTAAAGCGCGTGGCGGGAATTATGTATAGGGTTTAGGTTGGTAGGGTGGGCAAATGGCCAACTAGCGTGCGGAGGTGACCCGTGGGTCTGTTGTCGACCAGCAGCTGGCCGGTGCCGCAACGAGGCGTTTGGATGGTCCCAAGACATGCGCTTCAGCTCCCAAGATTCACATTACTGATAAAGCACCAAGAATGCCGACGTAATAGCAGTACACTACTTGCATCTCAGGCTCCTAAGTCGTCTAGCCGCCCTTAGCAGCCACCCGCCCACCTTTGAGCACACCGCTGTGGTGTTGGTGATGAGGCTCACGATAGAAGACAGCAACTCGTTCCGAGTCTCCTGAGTCACGATTACCGACAGCAGCTTGCGCGGGCTGGAGTACAGCTGCCGTACCAGAAGCTGCGGCGCAGTGGCCCATGAAACGGAATTAATAGCAGTAAGCACGGCAGCTTGTTCAGCAGTTGGTTGGTTGGGTGGTTGGGTGCGCGGGCGTTGACACAAGCTTAATAAGACGGTACGCCACAAAGTTCGGCTATAATGCAACACTACTACCACCCAAAAGGAGAGTGCATGTGTTCGTAACAGAACGTAACAGAACGTAACATGAACAGGTTTTGGAGCGGGGAAAGCAGGCGGTGTGTGTGTGTTGCGTAGCGGCCTCCGCCAACCCAAATTCTCAACTTTTGTACTGCCATTTCTGTACAGTACGGCACGCGAACGCACCTGCTTGTTGGCTGGCGACAGGGCATCGAAGGTGTTGTCGAAGATGGACATAGACGTCGCGGAGGCGGGAGGGACGGTGGTGCTGGAGACGTTGCCGGCACCCAGAAGGTTGATCACGCCCACCTTCAGTTGGGCCTTACGCAGCGCGTCATTGCCATCCGGATTGCTAACCTCCGTGATCAAGGTGTGCTGAGTCGCAGCTCCTGGGGGGGTCAGCGATGCGCATCACTTGAGGTGGCGTGGCGTGGCGTGGCGTGGGGTGGGGTGGCGTGGCGTGGCGTGGCGTGGCGTGGCGTGGCGTGGCGTGGCGTGGCGTGGCGTGGCGTGGCGTGGCGTGGCGTGGCGTGGCGTGGCGTGGCGTGGCGTGGCGTGGCGTGGCGTGGCGTGGCGTGGCGTGGCGTGGCGTGGCGTGGCGTGGCGTGGCGTGGCGTGGCGTGGCGTGGCGTGGCGTGGCGTGGCGTGGCGTGTTGGGCCGAGCCGCATCCGGGAAGAACGAGGACTTGCAAAGGGAGAAGGAGGTGGCCCGACACATACACACACACTGCCGTATCCACTGCCGTATCCATGCATGTCAGGCATATCCATTGATTTCACTGTTACAGGCACACACACACACCCTGTCACTGCGCATGTGCCAGAGCGGTCCACCTGTCCATGCGATTGCCCTCCGGCACCTGAAAGGGAGGGTGCACATACAGAGCAAGTTTCGGACCATTAGGGACGGCTCACCGGGCTCCGGGGGCGGCGGCGGCGGCGAGCGCGGTCGCGGCGAGGGCGGTAGCGCTGGCGGGGACGGTGGCACTGGTGGCGGAGGCGGCCTGGGTGGCGGAGGCGGCGGCGATGGCGGGCTGAATACCGTGACAGTCGCCCAGTCCGAAAAGCGAGTGGCGGCTGCGCAAAGGATGAGAGTGGTCGTAGGTCGCGGAAGGTTAGGGTGCGGAGCTGGGGGGACGGAAGCAGCGGACAAGAAAGATACAGATGCAATGCAACCGCCACAACACCACACATATATACATACATACATACATAGCAGTGCTGTGGAAGGGCGTGGGCTTGTGCGGTGTTATCCCCCCGACGGGTGCTATCTCCCCTGGACTAGCCCAGGGAGGGAGAGGCGGAGGAGGGTAGTAGTCCCAGGAGGCTGTTTGGCGTCTTGTGGTGTGAGCTCTTTGCGCTCTTTTTGCGTGAGGAGTTTTGAGCTTGGTGACCTCCCCAGCCCGGGATGACTCGTCGGGCTCCCGGTCGCCCAGGTCCTGGTTGCGAGCTCTCTGAGATGCTCGGTTCGTTCGGTCGGCAGGAAGAGCCCCCCGGTTGCGACTTCGTTTATGTTAGGAGACCAGCGGGCATAGATCCCGTCTAGCTGGAGCACCAAACCCCGGAGGGGAGCGCTGATGTATGCCGGCCGTCGTTTCCCGTGCGGCCTGACCCTGGGGCGGAGTGCATGAGACTAACCAGCCGTGTGCATCCGGCCGCCCCCCCCCTATGTTTCGGCCCTGGGCCCCCGGCTATTCAGCCCACAGTGTAATCAACGTCATACATACATACATACGCAAACCTACTGAGCGCTACTGCAACAGCAGGACAGCGCTGCGAGTTCCCGGAGGAATCACTTACGTCCGAAGCTGAAGTCGTAGCCCTGAAGCTTTACGAGGCCCCCGCGGGGGGTGTAGAAGGCAATGACGGGACTGGTGTCCCCGGCCATGTACCAGCCGGTGCCTGTGGTAGCGGGATGGCAGGGTTGGGGCTCTTGGTAAAACCGGACTCTCTTGACACGTACCAAACACGGGTGAGGGAAGTTGCTTGAGTGTGAAGAAGACGGGATCGGTGTGGGGCTGCCAGTGCGATCAAGGCGATCGAGTAACGGTGGAAAGACTGTTTCGTCCGGTCTCATGCACGTGACGTTCCCCCACACGCACACACGCACGCCCTTCTAATCCCTCCTACGCCCTCCTAAGCCCCAACCGTAGCTCTGCGCTTCAGGATACCACGCAGTTGCCACCAATCACTCCTCACCAAAGCTACACCTATAGGTTTGAACCTTGTTCTGTCCGGTGAAGATTGAGACCGGCAAGCCGTTGAAGTTGTACACGGTATTGGCCGCAGCTTTGAGGATGGTCTACGACAGGGGAAGGGGGGCAGTTCATGGCGGGTCGCTTGAGGTGAGGGAGGTGGAGCGGCAGAAGGAGAGGGAAAGGCGGGAAAGGGGTGCTTTCGAACCAACATACATACATACATAATACGTACATTTTTATAGCTGCGAAGACCAGCACCAAGAGCACCTAAGCATGAGAGGGCAGGGAGGCCTCCTCAGACCCCAGCCACCGGCGTGTATGTTTTTTTGAGCTAGCTGCGTATTTGTTTTCAGGAGCCGGAGATGCAGCACAAGTCGCCCATCCGGCAGCATTCCACGAAAAGGCCGGAAATGTGGCAAAAAGTGGAAAGAAAGCGTGGAGCAGCATGGTGGTGTGGGAAACACACCCTGGGCTCCGTGGCTTGGAAGAGTGCTCCAGTACCCGCGGGGCCCATCCCACTGCACTCCAGGCCGCTCCACGCAGTCACACCCCCGCATACGCCGCCCTTCCCCCAAGCCCGAAGGCATACCCCCCACTCCTTTCCCTCGGAGCTCCCACAAAGCGTCGTGGTGCCTCGCCAGGGTCCCCGTCCCGTCCCGTCCATTCTGCTTGGTCCTCCTTTCACCGCAGCCGTCGTCCCCCTTACCACGTTACAATTTGGATTGGCCGACAGGAAGGGCGTCAGCTGGCTATTGAAGATGGTGCCGAGCTCCGGAATTGCCAGCACCACCAGCATGGCACCGGGCCTGTCGATCGCGCTCACAGTCGCTGGGCTGATCTGAGGGACGGTTGGTCATCGTAAGCGGGGAGGCGTGCGAATGCGTTGGACAATGCAGGCCAGGATGGGGCGGGGAGCAAGGCGAGGCGACGCGGGGTGGAGGAATACACGTCGGAATGGGGTGGGGTGGGAGGTGGGGTGGGGTGGGAGGTGGGGTGGGGATGGGGCGCGAGAGCAGTAAGGCAGGAGGGTCAACGATGTGGAAGAGATGGCGAGCGGGAAGAAAGGGGAGGAAGAAAGGGCATTGCGGCCTCAAGGGGCTCAGGTGGCAGCACACCAGGGTTATGATCTAGGGCTATGATGATGCGATGTTTGAGGCAGCTGAGCGACCTCGGGGGCATTGCTGGTCACCACAGCCTCCACGCATCTACTAGCTGACAACTTAGCGGTCCGACACCACGAACTGCTGCACAGCTTTTCACTGCGTTACAGGCCCATGCCAGCTCGCCCACCAGGCAAACAAGCCGGCAGACACATGGGGAAGTCCAATTGCAGCCAGACAGCCGGTTCAGCAACGTTCGGGGCCGATAAAACTCGTTCGCAACGTATGGCGTGTACAGAGCCACCATGCTCACCCAAGACTTCGCAGCACAATCAGTACTCGCTTATCCAAATTTCACTGCTGGTATTGCCGCTTTTCCAGCTTGCGGAAGCCAAGCACATAACACTGTCCTGGATCGGAGCCCGCCAGCTACGCACCCTGTCCGTGCCGCGCAATGCGTAGGGCCATGCCCATCGAGCTCTCCCTGGTCCTTCTCTACGGATGCACCTCAGATAATCACTACAGTTTTTTTAACGATTATTGTTTCTTGGTTTTGCCGCACTCTTGTCTCTTGTCTTCGCGAGCCTGCCTGCCTGCCTTCCGCCCACCATCCGTAGCCATACCTTGGTTTATCGACACATATTGCCAATTCAACCGGTATTGCCTCTTTCCTGTTTTGAGACGCTATCGCGTGATATGTAATCCTTTGTATCTTATGTAAAAATATTTTTTTATATGACTTTCCAGCTAGCCATAATGCCGCCCTTCGATTTGCCAGTCACTTTCTATCTTCTTTGGCCTGTCGACTATGTCTCAGTCTTCTCTATTTCGGGCCCCTTCTCAGGTGTACAGGCCGCTCCAGTAAAACTTCAAAAGCGACAGTTGACAAGGTTACTTGTCCCCAGCCTGTCCCATTGCTTGTTCGTGTGGCTGGCGGTGTGACTGTGACCCGACCCGACCAGTTCCCCCTGCCACCTCCCCTTACACCCGCCCCGCACATTCCACTCACATTCCCATCGCTCGGTAGCGTGTTTGTCATCAAGATGTGGGTCCTGGCAGTCGATGAAAAGTTCGTGAAGGGGCCGCTGATGACGGTGACGTTCGGAACCAGGTTCTGTCGTACATGGTAAAAAGGCAACGCAAAGCAGTACAATCGTGCAGTTGAGCAGAGTCAAGCACAAGAGAAAGCCACCAGGGTTGAAGATCGCCATCAGGGCAGTAGCAGCAGTGACAACGGCAGTAGCAGGATGCGGGCGAATGTGCGAGGTGAGCTAGAGGGGGTTATTGTACGAACATTTTATTAGCCACTCAGATTAAACACGTACAACATGTACAGCATGTACAACACGTACAACACGTACAACTACCTACCACCTACCACGCACAGCACGCCTCATTATGCTCTTGGCAAGGCTATGTGGTGTGAGCGTTACCCTTCTTTCCACAGCTGTAAGCGCTGGAGTTCTGGAACGGGGTCAGTGTGCACTCGGTACGTGTTCCGTGTCAAAGCGAAGGAGTACTGCTATTCGCGCTACTACGATTGAATCGAATCGTCGATTCGGTGGCGTTTGCGCGCCAAAACAGCGAGCGGGACATTTGAACCCCCGTGACGTGGATGCCGCCCGTGTCTGTCTGCGGCACGCTTCTTGAGCCCCTTCTGCAGCCTTACACGTACCCTGATTGCATTTACAAGCGCTGTCTTCCTTGCGACGTCAGCTGCATCAGTGCTGTTTGCGTTGTTGTAGATTGCGATAGGCGCCAGCATCGAAAGCCCCGACTGAGCTGCAGTTTGCTGGGCGCATTGGAGCATCGCTAAAAGCGCCCCGAGCGCCAAGACCCCGAAGAGGCGAGACATGAGTGTTCCCGGCAGGCGCAAGCCGACGACGGCACGCGACACCCCCACAGGTGCGAGACTACAAAAGGCGAGCAGTGTCGACGAGATGCAGAATGCGCTGGATAAAGATTGGATGATTGTCCGGCGGTTACGAATCCCGCAAACCTGCAAGAGCAAAAGCACCGAGCGGTGGGTACCCGGCGTCAGCAGCAAGTCTCACCGTGATGCAAGTCCAAACGATGTGATCGGGAGGCAGTAACATGTCCAACAATTTTAATAATGATTAAGAGAATCCTCGCGATCGTGATATTTCTTGGACTTGCCATTGCTCACAACTATCTGGGAACGCGTCGTGATTTGCTAGGTTGCTAAAGACTCAATCGCTATAAGCGTGTATGACTATGAGGTTTCATGTCGGGGAGGAAAGCATCTGGACAAGCTGGCCGTTGCAACTCACGCAAGCGCACCCGACGTAACGACGGCCTCGCGGTACGTATGCAGATAACCGCAGGCTAGAAGTTTATGCCATTGTAATTTGCGAAATCGGAGAATATGCGGGTATGATCAGTCTGCCATAGTACTACCCTACACCAACCACAGTGCAACTCACGGCGACCTGCTTCAAAACGCAGAGGGGCACACAGTTATAGTATTTACTTACTTGAAGACTGTGCCGATGATTCCAATAGATCTGGGGAGGTTGGATTAGCCTGTATGCGCCTTCTCCCAGACGCTGGTTGTGATGGGATTACCTGAGGTTAGGGGTATGGGCCCAGCGTGGCCAGGCTTACAAATATACGATTATTACAATTGAATTTTATACAGGCATCGGTACGAGGGAGCGAGGACGGCCCATTCGTAATAAACCACTGCGTGGCGGGCGCCGCGAACTCAGGAACCTTCCCCACAAGTCCCGTGATAGCTGTCCAGTGTAACAAAAGGATACAAGGAGCTTGCGTTTTTCCTTCGTACAACACTACTTTGTCATTCTGCATGCGCCGTTCATTGGCCAGGCCAACGCCCACATTACCGGTAACTCCGTTCTGTGGGGAAATCACATGCATAGAAAATTCCTGCTTGCAGCCAAACATGTGAACTGGATACTTTGTTGATCTGATGGTTCGCACCGTTTTCATCAGTTTCACCGTTAAGGACAGGGTTGAGGAGTTGAGGGGGTAGAACCTCCATGAGAGAAAGATGCCAAGTATATTGCCACAGAAAGTGACACGAAATCTGTTTGTCCCTGATGATAGAGGTATAGATTGGCTGATTGCTGGGCTTCGTATAAGGCTCGGTGACACACCGTTAGTTGTGCACACGAAACGATCGACTGGTTCCTGATGCTCAAAGCAAATGGCCTCCTTGTAACCTTTGTACCTCATTCCAAGTATGGACACTGGCATTGGTGTTAAGCACGTCGATGGGGGCCCTTGACATTGAGCTTCAAAGATGATACAACCTGTTCGATAGGGCTTTGCACTCTTGTTATAGTGCCTGTATCTTGACCTATGATGAATGAGGGAAAAGTGGCGGCTGTGCCCGCAGCATTAACAGCTGCGGTATCACTTATCACCAAAGATCGTGCTGCGAGGAGAAATGTGACACGAGAAGAGGTCTCTGGATGGATTCTTTCACCTCCAGAGTCCCGCACCGCGGAGCAGGTGCGTGACGAGGTGTTTTCGGCAATGCACAAGAATTGCGCGTCCCCGGAGCCAAGGAGCAGCATGCGGTGCGGGCAAAGCTCCAGCGACTCGACTTGTATCAATCATACATCCCAAAAGCAGTTTCAAGCCGGCTCTGTCGCACTTTGTGCAAAGGAGGTTCGGCATGCATGTGGACGCTTGGCTGCGTCTAGACACCACAGCCAATTCCATGGATTCATGTCATGTCCTTGCACATCAAAATCCTAGAAGCCTCTATTTCTCCCCATGACTCTTTATCTATCCATCGATCTATCTATCCCCCGCCTGGGGGCTGCGCAACATGGCCCCTGAAGCCCTGCCTCCTCGCTCCAAGGGAAGCAGCTCTCCACCCCACACATCACACAGCCCTTACCCGCCTTCCTCACTCGTCGTCCTGCATCCTCCCACAGCTCTCTATATTCCCTTGCGGCACGCGCACCCATCATCATTCCACACACTTAGGCAAGGGACGCGGAGAACCCCCCAGACAGCAGGTTCCGTCCATCCCCTAACGGCACCGTACCTTAGGCCTGACCGTGGCTTTGCTCTTGCTGGCCCCCTCTCCCCAGCGAGAGTATCGGGCCCCATATCAGCTCAACTCAACCCACCAAACCGCCCCAAAGAAATAAAAATAAACACAACGCTGCTGCCCGTAGCTGCAACCGTAGGGCACCCGATACCAGTACGGCACCACTGCGGCACGGAACCTGTATGGTATCCCACAACAGCCTCCTGGCTGTAAAACCAACCCTCCTGTTCCTCAGCGTGACTCCCAGAACTCACCATCTATCTCCTGTACGACGCGTGATTTTCGGCGGCAGGTATCCGCCATCGTATCGCTTCTGTCCTTGTTCCCCAAGCTTCGCTCGGCGGGGGAGGCATGTCTGGCGTCGCTAGCCCGGCAGGTGGGGACGGGTGGCTCCGGAGGGGGGGTGGAGTGGGTTGATGTTGAGTTAGGGTCGCCGGAGGGTGGGGCTCAGGCTCAGGCGGAATTTGTTTCAAAGGGAAATCAGGAAAGGGGTTCAGAGCGAAGGGGGAGCCCGGGGGAGGGGAGAGGGAAATTGCTGAGCCGTGAATGGGGTTCACGGCGATGTGAAGTGAGGGAGTTGGCGGGAGGGAAATAAGGCAAATAAGGAATCTTAACGCGTCGCCTCCGCCTCCGCTCCCACGCGCACCCTCATCCCCGCCAGTGGTCCCGCTTCTTTACGGACCTCCGCCGCCGTTCCGTTTCTCTTTTCGGGGAGTACCATCTTTTCCCAGTTCCCCCTTGTACACGTGTACCCTTACCCCCTCGACATTTGATCCGCTATTCTTTGTCTGTAATCCCCCGTCCCCAACCCCCCGAAGGTGGGGGGGTCGTGGCGGTGGTGGTGGTGTAAGTACCGCATATCGCTTTGGACCGACAACTCCAGCAGCAGTTGCGGCGTTGGATGTCGCCATCAGCATTATCATTATCATTATCACTATCATTATCATCAGCTACATCCCTTCCCCTCCCCCCTCACCCCCCCTCACCCCCCCCCCTCTCTTCCTACAGGTTGCCGCCCAGCAGGCGAGTCGTGGTGAGGTGCTGTTCCGCCCGGGTGACGTGGCCGACTGCGTGTACCTGCTCGTGGAGGGAACCGTGGTGCTCATCGACCAACCGCCTCACAACCACCACAACCATAACCACTCACACAACCACCAAAACCACGGAGGGGGACAGCGGAGGAGGTCCAGCGGAGCCGGGGGAGACCAACGGGAGGGTACGGCGGGGGAGGGGGAGTGGAGGGTACGGCGGGGGCTTGGGGGAAGGGGGTTGGGGTTGGGGGTTACAACCCTACCTACCTACCTTTCCTTTCCAATCCCATCTTTTCATGTTCCCTGCCTCCATAAGCCACATCACCCTTTCCCCCTTTGTCTGTCTGCCTGCCTGTCTGCTTATTGTTCCCTCCCTTCCTTTCCCCCTCCTCCCCCTCCTCCTCCCCTTCCCCCCCCCCCCGCTGCCCGGGGCGTTCAGAGGATGTGCTGCAGCGGTTCAACTCCTGGGAACTGGTGGGGGATGAGCCCGTGCTGGCGGGCATACGTTGGTCGTGTAGGGCCCAGGTGGGCCCGGGGGGGGCCCGGGGGGGGGGGCTGGCGGACTGGGGCCATCCGGAGAGCAGGGCGCACAGAAACACAGGACAAAACACAAATGGCCCCACATAGACCCCAATGAAATTTATGTGCATGCATTTGTGGTTGGTTGGTCGGTTGGTCGGTTGGTTGATAGCAGTAGAACTGAACAGATCGATCACCGGTAGTCGCGCTAAGTCTGCATAACCCAAGCCAACGGTTCTTGTAATGGCCATAAAAGGCGCTTTCATTCGTACAGTACAGTACAGTACCGTATAGAGGTGCCACGTACGCCCCCCGCTGCGCCACCTCCCCGCGGCCCCGAGGCTCAGACAGCTCCCACACAAGCCAGCAACCAGAGACACTCCCCACTTCTCTTTTCCCCCAGCAGCACTTCGAATAAGGGGGGCGGGACCCCTAAGCACAGCCCACAAAAAAGGGGGGCCCTGGGAGGTAAAGGTCTCACGTACAGAGGGGCAGTTAGACAACGAAGGGCACCCCAACCTACTGGCCGCCCACCGCTAGGGGCGGCACGCGCACGAACGGACAGCCCCCCGGCTCGCCCCCGAAGGCTTGGCGGGGCTCAGGAGGGGGCCCCGGGCCTTATGTAACACCACGACCAGCCAATGAGCCGAAGGGGACCCTTAGCCACCACCTCCATGTGGGGGAGCCCTAACTGAGGAGGAGGGGTGCTGGTGGTGAATGTGGGGGCGGGACGTGTGTCAACGTACCCGCCCTTCATTTGCCGTCTCCGTTGCTGTACGACACGCGTGTTGTCGTACATTGGTGTGTTGAGTTCCGTGTTGCTACGTGCTCAGGTGGTCTCCAGCCGGGCGACGCTGTTGGTGGTTCCTCGGCACCTGTTCCACGACACCGTTGCGTTGAATGTACGAGCGTCGTTTAACAGAAAGGTATACGGCGCATCGTACCTGTGCTCCTATGCATAAAAGACAGTTATAATGCGCGTACTGCCTTTTGCATACACCCACTCACACACACATACAGAGACACACACACACACACACACACACTCTCTCTCTCTCTCATGCACGCATGCGCACACCTCAATCCAACCAATCCAATCAATCCTGCAACCTGCCCATGTCCATCGCGGTCCGGCCCGTCCCGCGTCTGTCGCGGGTCAGGAGTGGAGCTGGAGCTAGAGGACACGTCTGAGCAAGATAAAACACACACACTACAAGTCGGTCCTTTGACTCCTACTCTACCCCCTACCCTACCCCCTACCCTACCCCCTACCCTACCCCCTACCCGGTGCAGATCGACTTCCTGGCTCGCCTGCCCGTGTTCGGCAACATGCCCCGTCGCGTGGTGGAGCGGCTGACGCCCTTCTTCTACGAAGTGGTAGGAGCCACCTCAAGCTTGAGCTCACCAGCGGGGCGGGGAGGGACCCCTCCGGCCCCCAAGCCGCCCGCTCAGCCCGCCCGCTCGAGTTTCTCGTTCCTTTGCCAGCAACCCCTCCCCTCTTCCTCTTCCCCCTTCCGAATCCCTGGTGCTCAGGACACCTACGGCAGTTAGGTAGTTTGGACGTCGGCAGTTGTTTCGTTGACAGTTGAATCATCGTGTCGTTTCCCCTCCCCCCGGCTGCTGAGGCCCTCCGATTCCCTCCACCCGCATTCTCCCACCAACTCCCGGACCCACCTCAACTTCCCCCCGCCCTCTTCCCCCCTCCCCCCCCCCCCGCATACACACACGCGCAGGAGCTGCCCCCAAAGGAGCTGCTGTGCCGTCAGGGCGACGCGGCAGATTGCATGTGGGCAGTGGTGAATGGCAGGTGGGGGGAAAGGGACAGGGTTAGAAGAGGAAGGAAACCGTTATGGGGGAAAGGTTGGAAAGACGGCCTCCTTTTCTCCCCCTCTCCCACCTCCTCCTCTTCCCCCACCTTTTTTTTCCCTCCTCACCTCTTCAAAACCTAACTGGCAATATATCTGTGTCTAGTCCTGGAGTATCCGTCTGTTATATCCGGTATCTGCTTCACTCGTCTGTGGTTCGTCTGTCGCACCCCGCTCCTCCCCCCTCCTCCCCCTCCCCCCCCCTCTCCTCTCCCCCCACCGGCGCAGGTGCCATGTGGTTATAGATCCGAGCTGGAGTCCGGCAGCCAACAAGCCCCCGGAGACGGACCCTAAGAAGACCACTCAGGTGGGTCGGACAGGGAAGGGGGTGGGGTAGAGGGGAGGGGAGAAGGGGGTACGACACATCGGAATGCACAGACGATCGATGAAACAAAAATAATACCGTAGACGGATACTCCAAGTGAGACCACCATGTATAATGTTAGGACAACATGCAAAGGGGTAAGGTGGCGGGGTCGCCCATACATGGCGGTTCCCCCGGGCTGCCAGTTTGTCCGTCAGTCTGTCTGTCCCTACTGCCGTCCCTTCTGTCTGTCTGTCTGTCTGTCTGATTTCAGGTCGCGGCGGTTCAGAGCGGGCAGCTTATCGGGGAGATGTGTGTGTTTGGGAATCTGCGCCATCGGGCCTCCACCGTCAGGTGCGCCACAGAGGTACTGTTCTACAAGTTGAAGAGACTGCACTTCCTGCGGATTTGCCCGCCAGCGCAGCTAGAGGTGGGGTGGAGGGGACCGGGGGGGGTTGGGGGTTCGAACGGGTTCCGACTACGTTGAGTTTTACTTGTGTGTGGGAGCAGCTGTGATGGGTTTTAATTTTTGGGTTTTAATTTTTAAAAGGAGGGGAGCGGTTTGTTTTGTAGTTTTAAGGGAATTTTATGAAATTGGGGGTTTGGAACCCTAAGCCCATGGCTTTCCCCCGGGGCGGCTGGGTGTGAGGGTATATGCGGAGGAGGACCCGTCGTTCGGGCGTTTTAAGTACGACAGCAGCAGCAGCCGTAGCTGGGATCCCTACATGCCCTCCTCCCCCATGTCCCCCTCGTCTTCGTGCGGGTGGGCCTGTGCGGGCCGCCGCCATCTCCCCCCACCCCCCACCCCCCACCCTTCCCGGTATCAGCCTGTCCTTGGCATCAGCTCCTCTCCCCCGTTCGTGGGGTCGTTGGTCTTCCCCCCCTGCGTTCTTCCCCGGCCAGGAGCTCCGCGCCATTGCGGAGGCCAAGATGATGCTGCTGGTTCAGGCGGAGCGGGAGGAGCAAGGCGCGGCTGCTCGGGTCAGCAGAGTCCTGCGCGGGCACAGCTTGCGGGTGAGAGGAGCCAGGAGGGGGTTCTGGAGCGGGAAGAGTGGATATACTTGAGGTGGTAGCTTAGAAATCGAGAAAACATGAGAATTAAGAGGATGAGGGGAATGAGGATTTTTGAGGATCGGTGTATGTATGTATGCATGCATGTATGTATGCATGCATGTATGTATGTATGTATGTATGTATGTATGTATGTATGTATGTATGTATGTATGTATGTATGTATGTATGTATGTATGTATGTATGTCTCCTCCCCATCTCACCGCATCCATCCCGGGGCCGCCAGGCCCTCAAACCCACAAACCGAGCTCAACTGCTGAGAGGGGCCTTGGACGATTCAACCGGCCGCAAACAGCCGTCGTCGCCCACTGGCAAGAAGGGCCCCCCGCACAGCCCTGGTGGCGGCGGCGGCATCGGCGGCGGTGCCGGTGCGCCGTCCCGTACAAGTGGATCCGGCGGAACCGACCTGGGCCCTATTCACTCAACCGGCGGCGGCGACGCCGGGGACGGCGACACAGCCATGTGGGAGCTGGATTCTCCGAAACCCCGCGAGCGATCATCACTCGTACTTGATCTTGATGCCGACGTGTCGCATTCGCCGTGGGCCACCATCAGCGTCGCCGCCGCGGAGTGGATTCGTCCGGCGGCGCAGCGCCCGGCGGTGCCGCTATCGCCGGCGGCGGCGGCTGCCGGCACTGGCGTAGCCTCCCGCCTGCAGACCGTCCTTTCCCAGTTCGCCGCTGCCGACTGGGTGGATGGACTCAGCTCGGGGTACAGCGAGGATGATGTGCGCGGCAGCGGCGGCGGTGGCGGCGGCACAGCTCCGTCGGGGACGCACCGATCTCCGTCGGCGCCGGCGATGCCGGCGCCTACGACGGTGGCTGCGCTGCCGTTCGGCTGGGGCTACACGTTTCTCCGCTCAGCCGCGGAGGCTGGCACCGGGCCTGTAGGGACCCGAGTAAGCGGCGGCGGCGGCGGCGGTGGTGGTGGTGGTGGTCTTGCAGCAGGGTTGGCGTCGCCGTCGGGGTCACAAATGGCCGTCGCACTGCCCAGCCCCAGGTCGTCGCGGACAGTGACGGCGGCGACGACGGCGACGGCGACGGCGGCGGACTCGGCAGCTAGCGGCCGCGGTAACCCCGCACGGGAGGCGTCGGCGTCGCAACACTCTAGACCGCCTGGTGATGACGGCGGCGGCGCCGCTGGCGGCGCCGGCGGCGATCAAAGCGGCGAAAGATGTGAAGGCGGCGCTGACAGCACCACGTCACCTGCCGTACAGGCTTCCTCATCCGCCAGCGCGGACTGCCGATTGCGCGATGGCGGCGCGACGGGTGACAACGAGAACGAGAACGCGAATGACAGCGACAGCGACAGCGGTGGCAGCGGAAGTGAAAGTCACGAGGGCCAGTACAGCTACCGGGGTGACGACGCCGACGCAGCCGACGCCGATAACGATGTGACTCAGCAGCTGTTGAAGCACGTGCCGCTGCAACTGTTACCGTTAGTGGATTTTTCTTGGAAACTTCGGGCCGTGCAGCGTACTTAACACGCTGTACAGCCGTAGCGGCACCCCTGGCGCTGTCACTACCGCCGCCGGCAGCGGCGGCGGGAGCGGCCGCCCACGGCTGTCAATGCGCGGCGGCGGCGCCGCGGGGGATGGCCGCCGGCCGCCGGCCGGCGGCGGCACCGCTGCAGGTGACGGCGCGCTGTCGTCTGACACCGCTGGCGGCGGCGGCGGCGATGGGGTCCCGGGTCTCGAGTCCCCGTCTGCTCTGCCGCATCTGGTCATTCGCCGCTGCAGCACTCCGGACACTCCGGGCCCTTGGAGCGCACGGGAGAGGTTGCCGGAATCGATGACGGCGGCGGCATCAATCGGAATAACATCTACAGCAGCCTCTGGGACGAGCCCCGCTGGCACGGGCCCGCCGCCGCCACCACGTGAGGTCGTCAAAGCCAGGAGCGGATATTCGTTTGGCGGTGGCTTTGGCAACGTTGCCGCGGCCGTCGCTGCGGCCGCCACCGGCGGCAGCGCCAGCGGCGCAGTCCGCGGCAGCAGTAGCAGCTCCCTCGGCGTCCTCGCGCCGCTGCCGTTTGCAATCGCCCCGGCTAGTGTTCGTGCCAGGGCTGTGCAGGAACAGCTGCAGCAGCCGCCGCCGCAGCTGCAAAAGCAGTACGGCGGGACGAGACAACGGTACGGCACACCGGGCTCGAGCATGAGCGGACCGCACTCGTCGGTGCTTCGCATCATGCGGGCGCCGTCGGAGGTGAGATTAGGGGCTGGCGGAGTTTGTACGGGCGGCGGCGCCGACAGAACCATTCTGTTGTACGGCGTTTGCTTGCGCTTGCTTGCAGTTGATCGTCCCCTAAAGCCGTACATACAACGCAGGACCGATACATCTAACACGCCGAGTGCTGTGCTATGTTGTAGTATGCTCTGTCATACTGCAAGCCGAGGCGTTGCTGTGCCGTACTATGCCGTACGTCATCTGACGTGCCTAGCGATGTTGGTAGTTCAAAGAACACCATTTCATTTACCTCGTACGGCACTCCCTATGTTCTTCTCGAAGGCTTGTTGCCAAGTAGCATACATACATGAATACATACATACATAAATACACAAATACATAAATACATACACACGTACACGCGCAGGTTCGCGGTCCCAAGCAACCGGAGTCCGGTCATCATACGGCGGCGGCGGCGGCGGCGGCGGCGGCTACACTGACCGCATCTGACAGCCCTAGGGCCACGGCCGCCACCGGCTGCCTCCCCGGGGCCCAGGCCACATGCAGCCGGAGCGCCTCTAGCCCCGAACGCGACAGCCCACACGCCTCACCGACGGCCTCCCCTGGACCCGCCTCACCGCGAAGGCCGAGTACGACAGAGGGCGGAGCGCCCGTCGGCGGCGGCGGACCCGTTGATAGCTCCAGCACGACACTGACCGACGCCACACCGGCGGCGGCGGCGTCGACGGCGGCAGCTTCAGCAGAGGCAGCTGCTGCGGCGGCGGTGACGGATCCGCAGTACGGCAGCGGCACGGGCGCTGCTGGCGCGGCGAGTGTTACGAATGAGCCTTCTGGCGGTAGCGGCGGCGAAGGGGGAGTTGGGCGCGGCAGGCGAATTACGCCGCCGCCGCCGGTGCAGGTGGCATCGTACAACTACGACAGGGGGGTAGTCGAACGACTCCCTGAGGTGGTGGTCAGTCCCGCAGTCAGTGCCGCGGGGAACCGCGAGGTGGGCGAGAAGCGGGAGACGCAGCTACCGCCGTGCAGTAGCAGCAACAGCTCCAGCATCAGCTGCGGCGTCACAGCCCCAGCCCCAGCCCCAGCCGCATCCGGGCCGCTTCCAAGACTCTCTCGACAAGAGTCCTTGCCTGCCGCAGCCGGCGCCGCCAGCAGCGCCGGTCTGGATGCCGAGGCGCCAGCGCCGCTGGCGGAGGCAGAGGATAGCATTCCGTCATGTATGTCGTACGCGTCGCTCACAGCCGATGGCGTGGATTCGGGCGCCGCTTTAGCTGCCGGCACCACCGGCGGCGGTGATGATGACGCGGCAGCGAATGGAACGAGCACCTTTGCAATGCCTGACGGCGCTGCGGCGGCCTCTGCGGCCGTTGCCGCCGGCGGTACGGCTGCTCCTGATGGCGCTTATGGCAACGCAGAGTCTTTCGTGTCGGCGGTAGAGGGCATTCGGTGCGACGAGCAGGATTCTTCTGCACCCGCCAACGGCATGAAGCTACACAGTTCGCAACGTAAGACTTCGGAAGGCCCACGGCAGCGCACGTACGGCGACGTGTGGAACGGATCGCCGCCGCCAAACACGTGGGCAGTGGTTCCCCTCACAGCGGCCAACGCCGCGGAGGCGGCTGCCGTCTCTGTCGGCCCTTTGTCGACGCCCTTCCTGCAGTACATGCGGGCGGCGGCGGCAGCCGCCGCAGCCGGGCGCCCCTCGTCGCCGTCCGTGCACGGCAACGGCAGCGGCAGTAGTGGAGGCGGCAGTAGCACCCACCTACCGCAGCTGCGGTCCAGCGGCGCCAATGGTTTCAGCAGCGGCGGCGGAGGCGGAGGCGGCGGAGGCGGCGGCAGCAGCGGCGGTGGTGGCGGCGGTGGCGGTGGCGGTCCTAGTAGCCCGGTGACCCGCCGGATGGGCCATGCCGCCCAGAGCTCCGAGGCCTCTTTAGCGCAGTCGCTGGCGGCGCATCGCAACGTCATGGCGGCGGCAGCGGCGGCGCTCTCTACCTTGTCGCCAGCAGCCAGCAGCGGCGGCGCCATCGGCGGCAGCAACAGCCCCAGCCCGACGGCCAATGCCCTGGCGTCGCTGCTGACCAAAGGAGGCTGCCGTACAAGCTTGCCACCAAATATACGGCAGCCGAATGTAATAGTGAAGGGCGGCTTCGTTTATCGCGCGGCTACTGGCAAGCAGCGCTTAAGTGAGCTTGTGAACGGCGGGGGTGGCGGCGGCGGCCTAGCTGGCGGCAGCCATGCTATGAGTACGGCTGGACTGGGAGCCGCCGCCGCCGCCGCCGCTGCCGCCGCCGCGGCTGCCGGTGGTGGTGGCAATGGCGGATTCGGCAGCAGCCATTAGGCATTAGGCGCGGAGGCGGGGTCTCCCATTAGCGCCGCCAAGCGCGGTCTTGATGTGCACCACACACTAGCAGGATTTAAAAAACTACCCGCATTATGTCTCTTCATGCGCTGCCAAATGAACTCGTAATACCGCATACATACATACATACATACATGCATACAAATACCCGCAAGCCATTTTGCATGCAGCAGTTTGAATTTGGCCCTGGGCGGGACGGCGATCCCGTTTTACTGCGCGCTTTGGTTTGGCCCCGCCGACATAGGCTGCACGTGAACACGTGGCTGAGTGGTTGAGTGGCTGAGTGGCTGAGTGGTTAGGTGGCCATAGCTGGTAGCAAGGGAGGTTTCTCTCGAGGGGGTCCCTGCGCGTGAATTGGTGGTTGACGTGGTGGTGGTTGACAGTTACCAGCTGACCCAAATGCGCGACGGCGACGGCATTAGGATTAAGCTCTCAAGCAAAACAGGAGTATAGGCGCCAAAATAGTGTTATTTTGCTAATGGTGACTGGTGACCGATATTGATGGGGTGTTGGGAAATGACGATTATAGCAGAGGGCTTCGTGACGGTGGCTGAGAGGAGCCCGCTGGCGGTTGCTCCGGAAGGGCACCGCCGGTGGCGATGGGTGGGGGGGGGTATGTGTGTGAGGGGGGGATGGGGGATGAGGTGTCAGCAGGCCGGAAGCAATTTCTTCCAAGTGCACGTGCCAGCAGCAGGTGGTTGGTGACGGTTTGGATCGGGCGGCGCACCGTGCGTGTGTTTCCAGCTAAAATCTGTACTGGTCGGGTGACATCTTCCCGTAATGGTCGCTGCTGACCCGCGGCATTGAATGCTGAATCCATTTGCGGGTGACAGTTTGCTGGCGGGGAAACGCTGTGCCTGATATATATGCGCTACGGAGGAGTTCTTAAGGCACTTATATAAAAGAGGTGGTCGCCATGATATGGTGGTGCTAATGCGGTGGGGGAGGATCAGGCCGCGTGCGCTGGCGCATCGCTTTATGGGGCCCCGGCCATGTGCTAATTAAAAATTACAGGTACAAAAGTACAACAATAGTTTTTCCTCGGCTCACTATTCGGATATGTCTTGTGCGCACGCAAATCCATTATATACTCCTCACATTATAATATATGCATATGCAGGAGTAGGGTATAGCAGGGAATACATTGCCTAGTAGATAGATAGCAACTTGCTGTTTTGGTAGTTTGCTGATTCCCGGGAATTAGGATGCGCTGAGACACGCGAATCGCCGATGCAATCCTGATGCAGTGTGTGCAGTGTCCAGGAGGGGATTTAGCAGTTCGTCATTGTTTTCGCGTCGAGAGCAGGTGTCGATATTGACAGCTGCCGTGGCCCCCCGGCTGAGGCACGCACGGGCCTCCCTGCATGCACGGGCCTCCCTGCACCGTACAATGGGCTTCATGCGCACGGATTGATGTACTTGTGTACGGCCCTGGATGCGTCCTGAACTCCTGGTATTTCACACAATTTGACCTACTATTTCGTCAAGCGGTAACCTTTGCGGTGACTGTTTCGTGGGGGCTGGTACTTTCTGGCAAGAGAGTAAAGAGACCATGCAAACGTGTCTCATTAGCGTTGGTGAAAGGCAGACCATGTCGTCCCTTCCCACCTTTGAGTCGAAGTGAAGTCTGTTAAGATCATACAATGTTTATCTCGTGGTGCGTTCTTAGCTAGTGCGCCATAGCTCCACCGAGGCTGCTGACGCACGGGCGCAGCCTTGTATCCTGGCGCACACGCATTTCTGAAGGATGAAGAGGGGGCCCGCCTGCATGCGGACATCTTGACATCTCCATACATGCAAGTGATACACTGGCTTACACCACCAGCCAGCCAGCCAGCTACTCGCTGCCCCCCCCCCTCGGCTGTTACCCTTCACAATCATGGCACAATGGCACGGAGTACGTAAACCCCCTGCTTCGCTTCGCATTGCTGCATGCGTTTTTGTCAGTCCGCACCCTTCTGTCGCACCCTTCGTCCGCACCCTTCTGGTCATGTCATGTCGTGTCCTGTCCACCCGCCTCTATCCAAGGCAGCACCAAGACGGGAAACGCAGCAAGAACCAAGAGTCCCGATACAGCACACATGACACCACGATGGCACTGGATTGGACACTCACTTTACTCGCAGCCATTCATTCTATTACACCTGCGTTCAACCAGCCCCCGTCAGGACATGGTGGGGCAATGCCGTCCAAGGAGCTGCCTGCTGTCATGGCGCGCGAGCTCTCCCCAAGACTGTGCTGCCCCAACACAACCCCCGAATGCCGGCTGGAGACCGGAGCCACCGCAGCCGCCACATCAGCTGCACCCACAAAAAACCTGCACCCACGCGCACGGCCTTAGCTCCGGTGTCCACATCAGCATGAACCCGAATGCACACAAAAAATAACAGCACGCGTTCGTAAAAGGCAAACTGCACAAATGATGTGCAGATGTGAGCATCAGTCCACACGCACACGCGCACGCACTGCAGCAACGCAAGCCATACAATTATTCTGGGTGGGTCTGTAACAGTTTCCCTTGTAACAGTGCCGCACAGCAACAGTGCTTAGCCAACCGCGCGCGGCTTCTATATACATAACGGCACCGTAAAATGACGTACGCGTGTACGCATCCATTCGTTCATGGACGCGCGTGAATTAAACATCAAATGTCCCACACGGGACATGAGGGCATGGGCCGTACGTTGCCGATATAAAAGCAACGCAGGCCAACGTCCTGACGCGCACAGAAGAACCGATCCTTGACCGCAACCCCTCCTGCAACTCCGCTTCTGAAGGGGATGAAATAAGGAGCAGGACCTTCCCCATCTACCTATATACCTATACCTACACCCACGCCAGCCATGCCCTTCCGCACTCCATCAGGCTTTTTCAGAACCCCCAGCCGCGGCGAAGTCGGCTCCCGCCAGCTGCCCCCTCCCCTCCTTTCAAACCTCCTCCCCCGCGACAGCAATCCCAGGGGGACATCCACTTCATCCGCCCGTAAGCCCGTCGAGCCTGTATTCCCGACCGAACCATTTTTGCTCTCTCCCTTCCCCTCTCTGCCTCCTAACCCCTCCTAACCCGCTCCTAAGCCCCCCACTTCTTCTTCCCCCCTCCCAGCTTCCCCCCCTTCAACTCGGGGGACGCCAGGTAGCTCCCCGAGTACAGCTCCCGTTCCATGTCCGTACCACGTACGACACACACGATGTTCGACCAGCGCCGCAGCTCATACGCTTCTGTCCAGCAGTCCCCGGTGACTTTGGCCAAAGTGGGTCCGTCGTAAAAACACGTGTAACCCAGATCGTCAAGATATCTCACGCACTGGCGCAAACTGCCCCCCGAGCGCTTCCAAAGAGAATGGTACTCGAACGACAGCAATCCGATGCGGTGCCCCCGGAGGGACTCGTAGGCTCCGGCCAGGACCGCCGGGTCGAAGCCCTCCGTGTCGATCTTGAGTACGTCTAAGTACGACACGCTCCGAGACCGCATCTCCTCATCCACCGTGGTCACGTTGACCGCCTGGAAGGCGACGTTGCTGTCGCCGAGGCTGCAGGTATTGCCGGTGCAGTTAACTGGAAAGTGTGCGATGCCCGATGCGTTGGAGACTGCGGCTGGCACGATGTGGAAGTTGACCTTGGTGGCCTGGTGGGGTGGGGGCTTGGAGGTAGGGTCAGGGGAGCCGTACAGTGCATTGCGCGCCTGTGTGAGGCTGACGAAGTGGATTTCAGAGGGTTCGAAGCAGAAGACGTCAACGGTTCGCTGGCCGCTGACGATGCGGTCTGGTGGGTTTTGTAGGCACTCGTTGCAACCGCCGCATGGCTTTGCGTACACTGCGCGGTTCGCGTGGGACTTATAAAGCAGCTGCAGATGGTTGCCGTACCCTGGCGCCAGGTAATTGAGCGCTGTGGCAGAAAAGTAAGCCTGGGGCAAACCGTGGGAAGGAGAGGAAAGGGGTGGGGGGGATGTACGGGTGGGGGGGATGTACGGTGGGGGGGATGTACGGAAAGGACTATGCGAAAGCCATGCCAGGCGGCGATGGGCGCTTTATGCGGGGTTGGTTCTGGCATTTCCTGCGGTTACCTCCTTTGCTGCAAGGATTCCCGTCTTAAGCCAGGAATTGTTATCTTTCCAATCCCTATGTGGCCCTTACTGCGCTTTCAGCATCCCCACGCACGGAGAAGGATATCTACCTTGTTGCAGCCTACATCGGCGATGGCCGCGCGCTGCTCCTTCGCCTTCAGTTTAAGTTCTGCATGCAAAAATGCATTCCAGAGTGAGAGCACCTTCAATACGTGCGATAATCGAACGCCTTGCATAATTTTTTTGCCTGCTAGGTTCCCAAGCCACCAGTGTTCCGCACAAGCAGAGCTGTGACGGCGATGCTTCAGCGAAGCGAGGAATGTTTTAGCCTGTATCTTTGCCGTTGCAGGATCGCAACCAAACGCGTCCTTAACAGCACGCTCTATCGCACTATGGTCGGTGACCGGTTTCCAGCAGGCCTGGCAACCTATCAAGCTGAGGACAAATGTAACAACGAGAAAAATATGTGACATGATGTTTCGATCTTGCCCCATAGCATGAAGATAGTCTGCTTCGGCAAATTACAAGCTGTAGCAGGCAAACATAACTATTCAAAAGGCGTCACATCGCACATATTTGGGAACGTGCCATAGTAACTTATGCAGCTGTTAGGATTAGGCCTCCCGCATCCTTGTTATGCTTAGTACGGGGAAAATCCAACTTCGCATTCAAACGTGTTTTCGTACTATGCTGCCGTAGTCCTGGCCTCGCGGTTAGTACCTAATCATGCAAACATGGCGCGCGTGCATCCCTGCGTATCTGTCACGAAGCTACATAGGTTGATGCATTCCCCACAGCTGGCAGCCTTCCGCCAGCCAGTTCCCACCTGTTCTCCGTCACACGCCCTTACACGTGCACTTCGCCCGCGGTACAGAAACCACATATGCCGCGGTACGGCAACAACATAACCTGCGCCGAACACTGCTGGGCCCAAAACGCCCATAGTTGCGCGCCCTCTTGCGCCGTACCGGCTGCAAATCATCTCCTGAGATCGCCGTCACCTAACCGCATTCTTCACCTCCAAGCCTTCACCGCAACGCGAGTCTGTGACTATCGAAGTTTCCAGGATCCGCCATCGCAAGCATGAAGCTTAAATCCCTTATCGGGCACCATAGCCAGTGGCAACGGAAACAGACGGATAGATCCCAAGTACCAACCATCAAACAAACCAGCCAACATTCAACCAACGGCCGGTTCCGAAACCACCGGGCCCCTTCCGGCCAAACCCGCCAACGCAACGCAGCGGCGACTACCACCCTTGCCGTCCTGGCGCCGTCAGGCACACCGATATTCCCTCTCCCTTTCCCGCCCCCAACATGCGACTCCTCTCCCCACAGCACCTCCTCTCCTCCTCCTCCTCCTCCTCCTCATCATCATCATCATCATCATTTACTAATTATTATTATTATTATTATTAATTATTATCATTATCGCTCAGCTCGCCAAGTGGCTCAACGTCCACGTCAATATCACCGCGCCGCCGCCGCCGCCGCCGCCGCCGTGGCGGTGGTCCAAGGGTACGAGCCAGAGACGCCCTGCGGCTGCTGCGGCTGTAGCAGCAGCGGCTGCTCCACGTAGCCGGTCCCCCGCCGCAACACCTCCAGCAGCAAGGCCACCCCCAGCGCCGCGGGGCCCAGCACGCGCATCCCCACATCCCTTAGGCCTACGGGTCGCTGGAACACCAACATGACGGCCTGCAGCCCCACACGGGTTTTGTCCCCCCGGGGGCCCCGGGGGGGTGAACCTCCGTCACTAGGTCCCTCGGGGCTGCGCACAGTGCGTCTGTATGTGTGTGTATGTGTGCATCTGTATATGTGTGTGTGTGTGTGTGTTTGTGTATGTATGTGTATGTGCATGTGCATGTGTGTAAGCTTAGTTGTCTGTATGTTTCAGTGATCTTCGGAGCCGTGATCGGGGAGGGGGGAAATGCCGTATGGGTGGCGGTACACTGGAGAATAACTCCATACCGACGCGAGCTTCGGATAGTCACCAGCGACATGGTAGAAGTTTACATTAAAACTGCATACTTAGCTGCTTGCGTTTTCCAAAGTAGACGTTGATATTTAAAAAGTGATGTCAAGAGCGTGTATATATGCGTGTATGTGTATGTGTATGTGTATGTGTATGTGTATGTGTATGTGTATGTGTATGTGTATGTGTATGTGTATGTGTATGTGTATGTGTATGTATGCTCGGGAGGGGGAGTTGAAGGCGAGTTGGTTGCTCGATCCAGCCACCGGGTCGACAGGCGCTATGCGCGGTATGAATGTGTATGCATGCGCCAGACAGAAACGTCCCCCTAAATCACACCACACGAATACACACACGCGCCAGTTGTCTCCACCCCCCCGGCCCTCCCCCCTTCCCACCAGCGGCCCCCCCCGGCTCGCACCTGAATGGTCGCCGCCAACACCAGCAATATGCCCAACTGCAGGGCTGTGGTGTTGGGCGGCTTACGGCGGGGTAGGTCCGACGGCGGGCAGGCCATCTGCACTCGGAACGTTAGTGGGGTAGAGGCAAGTGGGGGAGGGAAGCGGGAATCATACGCAAGGAAACAAGGAACGAACTGCCGGCGTCCACATTTTGAAAGGGGGAAGGGTGTAAGGACAACGCTCGCTGTCTCCCCCCCGACCCCCCGACCCCACCCCCCCCACACACACTCAGGGGCCTGTGGGGCTCCAGTCCGGAGGCGGATGGCCTCACTGGCAATCCGGATGCGGTATATGTGGATAAACAGGCAGGGCGTTGTTCGCCTCTACCCTGCAAACATACATGTTACACAAACACATACACACGCGTACTCAGACACGCGCCCCCACCTTGAATGCCCCCGACACGAGGTCGAGTGCATCTTGCCTCCGAGCATCTGTGAAGTTGGAGTAGTAGTAGCGGGACACCAAGTCGCCTGGGGAGGGGGGGGGGGAGGGAAAGACGAACCACACACGGGGGAGGGGGGAGGGGGGAGCGGGACGGACAACAACGCAGACGAAGAAACAGTAGCAGTAGCGGTAGCAGTGGCAGCGGCAGCACAGTCGTAATAACAGCAGTAGCAGTAGCAGTAGCAGCAATCGTGATCACGGCTACAGCCACGGCCACGTCGGGCCGAACTCCACTCACATGCTGCCACCTCACACCCCACCCCACCCCACCCACGTTAACAGCCTTTCCCCGCACCCAGGCGCCTCGAGTTCCCTCCCTCGTTATCGCCAACCACCCAACCACCAACTACCTACCCGCTGCCAGTATGTTGTCCCTGGCTAACCTCCACAGCCCGCGGGGCCCCTCCAGCAGGAGGCCGCTCCCGCGCTCCAGGGTAGCCGCAGCAGCCCGCAGCCTCCTGCCCGCCTGGCTAGCCGTACCGAGGGTTTGATCCGATAACACATCCGCCATGTGGGACCAAAGGTGCGCCAGGGCTGTGCGTGTATGTGTGTGGGGGGAGAGGAGAGAGGAGGGAGGACCGGGGGAAACGGGGGAAGGGGAATGTGTGTGTTTTCGGGGGAGTGCACGTCGTTTTCCGTACATTTTGTACATACATATATAGCTCATACACACAGAACCCTTACCAGCCCCCACGCTTTCCCCCAAAAAGGAAAAAGGCTGCAGAAACCCCACCGTGTACGACACCGGCGTGTTCTGACATCAGCTCTCCGGGGTCCTCCGTCGCCCCCACCGCCACCAGCGCCTCCCCCAGCACCGGCAGCGCCAGCGCGTACTGCGCTAGGTCCACTTCCTCGCAGCACCCGCCTAGGGCCGACAGCGGAAGAGAGGGGGGTCGCGAGTGAAGGGAGCGGGGGGGGGGGGGGCTAGGAGGGGGGGGAAGGAGAGGGGGCCGGCGGTGGGAGGCATGAGGGGAGGAAAAGAGCCCGGGCCCCGGAACGGTTGGGTCAGCTGCACGGCCCCCACACTTACCCGCGGAAGAGGTGCTGGCGCTGCTGACTCGCACCAGGCCCCCCTGCGGGCAGTGCACTCGGCGACCGACACAACGAGGCGGCGACCAGGCAACTCCACCTCCTCCTCCTCCTGCTGCTGCTGCTGCTGCTGCACCACCGCCGCCGCCGCCGCCCGGCGAGGAAGGCTGATGCGGCTGGGACTGTGCAGCAGGGGCGGCAGTAGCGGCGGCGGAGGCGCTGGCCTCGCCGGCCGAAGCCCCTCCCACGGCTGGCAGCAGCGGAACCACCATCTCCAAGTCATCCTGAATGACCACCACCACCACCACCACCACAACAACAACAAGCACCACCACCACCACCACAACGGAAACAAGAAAGTAATGACGAGGCGCATCGGAGTAAAAAAGCACGAGGATGAAAATAATCGAAGTCGATTAGAGTGTACTGGCAGTAGCATTGGGGCGTATCGACACTAGCTTCGGAGGATACGGCGGTGCCTGGCGGGGGCCGGGAGAGGTCACTTGCGTACATTCATCTCCCCGTGTGGGCCCGGCAAGGCGGCCGCACTCGGTCAGATTTGAACCCGAACAGATCGCGGAGGGGCTTCTCTTCCACGTGTACTGCACTTGCCTCCGGGCTCCTCTCATCTGTTGGCTAACCACAGCCACACACCCCACCCTGGCAACCCACCCTGGACCCCAACCCACCCTGGACCCCAACCCCCCAAACTTCTTACGACGGACAGAAACGGCCGAAGGATGCGCCGCCCCTCATCCGCCACACGCCGCTCCAACAGCGCCGCCGTGTCGCCGGACCCCGCCAACTCGCCGAGTGCCCTCCGCCCCTGGAGCAAAAACCCCACAAGGGACACGCATCCACTGGCGCCACCTCCGCCAGCCGTGGAAGCCACCGCCACCCCGTCAGCCCCGCTTCCAAGTACAGCTCCCGTTCCAGTTTCAGGTCCTCGTTGCGGGCTGCTGCACTCGGATTCCAGGCGGCGGCGGCGGCGGCGGCGGCTGGAGCCGTCTTCTGCGGGGTCCTCCGTCACAGCGGGACGCTCTACCTCCCCCTCCTCCTCCTCCCCCTCCTCCCCCCTGGAGGCGACCTCCGTCCTGCCGCCGCCACCTAGCGCCTCCTCCTGCTGCTGTTGCTGCTGCTGCTGCTGCTGCTCGTTTAGTCCTTGTGCCTGTTGCTGCGGGGACAGTTGTTCCTGTTTCTGTCGCGGTTGCCCCCGGGGGGCTCCGGAGGCCGTGTACGCCGCCACCTGCAGCGGAACGGAATGGAATGGAAGTGACCTCCTCCTCCCCCTCTTGCCGCCTCTTGCCCTCCCCTTACCCCCCTGCTGC